AAATTTCCTAAATTTAATGCAGACGCATTTCATAAATTAAAAATATTTAATCAGCATGTTAAAGCAAAATTACGTTTGGTAAATAAAAAGCTAGAAAATATGCAAAAAGTGGAGAAAGAATTAAAATCTACAATTGATAATCAACTCTTAAATGAACCAGAATGTCATAGTCCTGTTTTTAAGCAACATAAAATAGTCAAAAGTAGTCCAATAAACTTGCACAATTCAAAGGATAGTAGTATGAATCTTAGTCTTAATTCTTCTAGCAAAGAAATAGTAAGTCCTAATGAAACTTTAGATGGATTATCATTAAGCATTACTAGATCTTCTCTAAGTCCATGCCAAACAGATGATACTGAAAAAGTAAATGTGAAAACCTCTGTCAATACTAATTCACCTGTAGTTAGTACAAATACTAATACAGCTACAATGAGAAAAAGTACTTTTCAATTAAAAAGACCTGTCAGAGCTACAATATGCACAGAAGTTACAAAAAAAATAGGCGAATTATGGGAGAAAGAACAGCAACAATCAAGACTATTAAAAATAAAATCTGATTCTGAATGTGATAATGTTAGCTTTAAGACAGAGCAAAATGAACTTGTATATCAAAATAAAAAGGTTGATTATGATTATTCGAAAGGAAAAGAATTTCAACAAGATGCACAACCTACGTTTAATCAAATGGATGATTGGATTAATAATAGTAAAGATTTTGGTAAGATACTATTCTATTTAATTAACAATAATCACTATTCATTTGTAAACATTGTTACAGAGGATGATGTAATGGAAAATAAGAACAAAAGTATTACTGAAACATTTAAAAAAGAGTATAAGCCTTCTATATCTTTAAATGATAGTTCTAATTTAGATTTAAGTTTAAGTATGAAAGGTAAATTGTATAATTTATTTTATAATTTATTTTATAATTTATTTTGGTTTTTTGAAGCATTTATGTTTTATGTGTACGAAAAATTTATATTTACATTTTTAGCAACGAGTAGCCCAGAAAAAAAGAAGAGTACTACTACAAATAATAAAATAAATATAAATTTAAATACATCCGTTTCTGAAGGAATCTTTACAGGAAATTATAAAAATGATGGCATTAGCGGAGAATTCGATGGTTTAAATTATCCTCATTCTCGTGAAATGTTAAAAGTATATACAAATATATATTCTTATATTAACTTTTAATTAAATTAATATGTACAGAAGTATAAAAATATATTTAAAATTAACTTACAAATTGATTGTTATTGTTATTGAATTGTTAAAATATTTGTAGTTAGAAAAATTAATATATTATTTGTTTATACAGAGAATCATTGTTTCAGATCTTCAGGCAGAAGTTTGGTTTATACTCTTTCAGGCCTAATCAATTGCAAGCGATTAATGCAGCGCTCCTTGGATTTGACTGTTTTGTTTTGATGCCTACAGGTGGAGGAAAATCACTTTGTTATCAAATGCCAGCTCTTCTTGTACCAGGAGTTACAATTGTTATATCTCCTTTAAAAAGTCTTATTCTTGATCAAGTACAGAAATTGACTTCACTTGATGTAAGTTATATAATTTTATTAGAGTTTTGTTTGTATAGTAAATTTTGAATAAATAAATTAATCATAATGCTCGTGATAATTTATTATCATTCAGATTCCTGCAGCACACATGTCTGGCAATATAACTGAAAATCAATCAGCTGGAATATATAGAGAATTATCAAAGAAAGAACCGGGCTTAAAATTATTATATGTAACACCTGAAAAAATATCTGCTTCCCAAAAATTAAGCAGCATTTTAACAACTTTATTTCAAAGAAATTTATTAGCACGATTTGTTATCGATGAAGCACATTGTGTAAGTCAATGGGGACATGATTTTAGACCAGATTATAAGAAATTAAAATGTCTTAGAGAAAATTATCCTACAGTATCAACAATTGCTTTAACAGCTACAGCTACTCCAAGAGTTAGAACAGATATATTGTATCAATTGGGTATGACAAAACCAAAATGGTATGATATAAGACATTTGTATATTATTTATTATTATTAATTATCATAACAATGTATATATTAAGACATAAATAATTTTATTTTCAGGTTTATGTCAAGTTTCAACAGACCGAATTTACGATATAGTATAATTGCAAAGAAAGGCAAAAATTGTTCTGATGAAGTTATAGCTATGATAAAGACAAAATTCAAAAATCAATGTGGCATTGTTTATTGTTTATCGCGTAAAGATTGTGACGATTACGCTTTACAAATGAGAAAAAATAATATTCAAGCTCAAAGTTATCATGCTGGATTGACAGATAATCAGAGGAGTGATATTCAAGGACGTTGGATTTCAGAAGAAGTACATAGAAATACATCATGTATATAATATAATTTAATGCTATTCATTTATTTATGTTTAATAAAATTATTTTAGATGAGGATTGTCTGTGCAACTATAGCATTTGGTATGGGTATTGATAAGCCTAATGTACGCTTTGTAATACATGCTGCTTTACCAAAGTCAATAGAAGGTTATTATCAAGAAAGTGGACGTGCTGGTCGTGACGGAGAAAATGCTGAATGTATATTATTTTATAATTATGCTGATATGCATAGAATCAGAAAAATGATTGAAATAGATAATTCGAATCCAGACGTTATAAAAACACATATGGATAATTTATTTAAGATGGTATCCTTTTGTGAAAATAAAACCGATTGTCGTAGAGCATTACAACTTAATTATTTCGGTGAAATTTTTAATCGGGAAAAATGTATTGAAAATAAATCATCTGCATGCGATAATTGTAGGTGTAAGGTAAGAGACACTATATATTGTAATTATGATTGCATATATAAGGTGAAAACCTGTAATCGAAATTATTTTGTGTATGTACTTTTCAGGCGGAGTTTACTATGTTGGATGCAACAAATCATGCACGGCAAATTATGAAAGCAGTACGAGAAATTAATCAGAGAAAGAATTCTAAATTAACTTTAGTATTTCTTACGGATATTTTTAAGGGAAGCGATTTAAAAAAAATAAGAGAATCAGGTAGAAATAATTAGGAATAAATAATTTTTATAATTTGTATTTAATAAATTAAAAAAATTTTGTTGTTAAACTAATATTTATTATTTTGTAGGTCTTACAAATCATCCATTGTATGGTCAAGGTAAATCGTGGAACAGAGGTGATATAGAACGTCTTTTACATGAAATGGTACTTAAAGAATATTTAAGAGAGGAAATGTATATAAACAATGAAATCGCGTGTGCATATTTAAAAATTGGTCACAAAGCGACAGAATTAATGACCAAAAAAGACACAAAGGTAATAAATAATTTTAAATCGCATTATTAAAAATAAAATATAAATATTGCCGTATTTATATTTTAGGTGATTATTCCAATACGTGCTGCAAATAGTAGTTCAAATGCAGTAGCAACTGTTTCTACAGTTACAACTAAAGTTAACAAAGTTCTACAAGAGTTGCAAGAACGTTGTTATTCAGAATTAATAGGAATTATTAGAGGAATAGCGGGTGCACTCGATGTATCTGCATCATCAATCATGAATATGATAGCTATAAGAGCAATGAGTCAACAATTACCTGATAGTGAAGAAGCCATGTTAAAAATTCCCCACGTCACAAAGGCGAATTTTGACAAATATGGCAAAGCTTTATTAGATATTACACAAAAATATGCAGCAGAAAAATATGGTAATAGTAAATTGAACTATATAAGTTCATGTATTTAATATATAAATGAACGATTAAGTAACTAAGTAAAACTTTATAATTTGCTTTAAATTATCAGTTTTATTGAGTGAAGCTGATGAGAATTCAGCTGACAGTACTGATGAAGATACAAGTTCATGGAATACTGCTACAAATTCCTCTTATTCTGGAAGTACAAGAGGTAGATATGGAAGTACACAAGGAAGAAAACGTAAAGGTTATAATAATTATCGTTCAAGCACTAAAAAAGCTAGATATACAAATTCAAGGTGATTTATTTATTTACTTGTTAGGAGAAATATTAATTTTGCAATATAAATGATTTATTATATTGTCAAATATTTTTTAATATAATTTTAGCACACAAAAAGGAAAAGCAGCTTCGAAACGTAAAACTGCTGCAGCAAAGCCTACTCTAGGACTTGTAAGTTTTTCAAAGAAGAAATAATATCTTATTGTCAGTGACACAGAATAGTGATATTATTATTATTTTTATAAATTATATATGTAATTATCTGTATCAACTTTTGTATTTGTAAGACATTGTATGACTATTTTGTATTAATGTTATGATACAGTGTATCAGTGAATTTTTCAAATTGGCGTTTTAGCCATATTATATGTATTTCAATGAAAACTGTTTAATTATATAGATACTCAATAAAATTTTTTAGCGGACTAAGTTATCTGCTATTGTAAATGTGTTTCTGTAAAAACTTTACAAAATTTTAACGTTTAAGTGATAGTATAATTATTTTAGTTACTCAGCATGTAAATGATGACTGTCATAGTATCCGCAATTTAATTGGCTATTATAACTGTACTCACGATGTGTGTGTATGTGTATGTGTGTTATACTAATGGTATGTATTAAAAAATATTTATATGATAAAATTTATATAATATAATGAAATCTATATTTATTTCAAGTAAGTAATGACAATGAAATAAAAAATAAATAATATCAAAGGATCTGTAAAATGTTAGAAAATATAATTTTTTTAATATAAAAAATAAAGAGTTAATTTATAAATTATAACTTGTTTACAAATTAATAAAGTATATTTAATAGTGCATTATCTTTTCTTATATATATATATATATACATATATATTTTTTTGTTTATTATTTTGTATTTTACACTATTATAGAGATATAATTTATCTATTTATTTAAAAACATATCTTCTATCATAAATTAACTCTATTATACTGAAAAACATATTGAATTGTAAAAACATTTGTATATATGCATCTACGTATGTGATGACATTTGTACATACCTATATATCAACAGTTGCATCAGACTATAATATGTACGTGTGATGTTACCTTGATCGTCACAGATGTGAAGTAACTTTGTGTATTACGAATAAGATAATTTTAATTATTCGGCCTAATATTAATAAGGACATAGTATGGTATACTGATGCCATTGATAAGTAATACAAAACATGTCACTTTGCCTTAAGATATAAATAAATATTAAAACGATGGCTGGTTCTATAGAAGAGGTTAGAAATTCCTTGTCTACAAACAAAGGTAACTTTAATGTTTTTCTTTTTTTTCTTAGATTTCTTTCTAGCGATTTTAATGTGATCTTTTCACAACGGATTTAAATTGTTTTATTTCATATACTAATTTATGAATTAATTTATGATAAGTTCCTTTACTTAATAAGTTTGTGTATGTCTGTATATACGTGAAACTTTACATTTGTATACGTCATCTATATGTATATTGAAGATTTTTTTCGTCGTTTTTTTATAATTTATTATTTTTTAATATCATGAACAATTTTATGTATAAAATCATTTATTAGGATTTCCCGCCATACGGACGACAGTATCTTACGAAGAAATTGCTACGAAACTTTTAAACGAAAAATTTTTATTAACAGCTTTGGAATTACATGCAGAATTATGCGAAGCAGGAAGAGAATTGTCAATTCTCAAAGAATACTTTTCTAATCCATGTAATTTCGAAAATCAAAATATCAAACCAGAACCATATACACCTATGCGTAAGTATATTTTTCAGGTATTATAATGTGATTTCTTTATATTTATGTCTATTTATTACCTATTTTTTTTTGAATAAATTAAAGTATTAAATATATTTTTTAATAATATTTAAAATAATATATATGTAAATAATATGAATAGAAGAAATTTGAAAATTATCATTTTATATATATATATGTATATATTTGAAACAAAATACTAGCTAGGTCTTCTAGTCAAGCTACTTTGGATTCGCTTGATATGACAAGGTACTCAGAAGATGGTACTGGAATTGATGAAAGAGTTGCAATTTTGGAATTTGAACTTAGAAATGCAAGAGAAAGTATTTCTGCTCTACGTGCAAATCTTACTGTTGTAACAGGTTTGTTTTTCTTTTTCAAACGTTTCTTTGCATTTTTATAATATAATAAAATTTCTTTATTTTAATATTTCAGAATTTGATAGTGCAACACCTGATAAACGTTCGGATAAGCAAGTTATTAATGATAATCCTATAAAACCTCACGAACAAAGAGCTTTAAATTTTTTAGTTCATGAATATTTGCTTACACATTCTTATAAATTAACATCAATAACATTTAGTGATGAAAATGAAAATCAAGAACTTGAAGATTGGCAGGATGTTGGCTTGAACATTCCAAAACCTTCTGGATTATTACAGATTTATAGAGAATACATGAGAGCTAATGGTCATGACAAACCACCTTCTGTAAATATTTCTGTTCAAACTGAATTTGGAAATACTGAAGTAGAAAGAAAGGAGAATGAGTTGAAAGAAATGGTTTGTATTTTGTATGTGCAACTTATAATTTTTCAATTTTTAAATTATTTTTTTTATTATAGATAGAGCAAATAGAACAATTAAAACAGCAAACTGCATTATTAGAAAAAGAAAAAATGGATCTCCAGCATTATATTGATACTACCAATGAAAATTTGGTACAAGATAATAAGGTAAAACGAAATGTTATTATCTGTTAGTGTTGCTTTTTAAAAACTTAATTTTTATAAATCTATATGTATGTTCAATTTAGCAACGTAGTAATGGTACCAACCAATCTATAAATTCGAATTCTACAACACCAGATAAATTCGAAATTCTTGAGTCTCCTCCACGCGATGCTTCAAACGCAACTCAAGATCCAGAAGAAGATGATAGTGTTTCTGTAGTAGTGAGCTTAGGTGAAACTGATCCAGGAGATAAAGAATGGACAAGAATACAGTTACCAAGGACTGATGTTACAGAAGGTTCAACTATTTTATCAAATGCACCATCCAGGTATACAGATATATAAATTAATGCATAATTAAATAAAAGATATATAAAAAATAATATTTGCATGTATATATATATAAAAATATATATATATATGTATATATATATATATATATATATATATATATATATATATATGTTTCAGACTTTTACCAATAAAATTTAAATTAGAAGTTATTGGTCTTTGTTTGGTGAATATTTCAAGTTCCATAATATCAGTAGCAGAAGAACCATTTAAATATGGAGTTTCTCGCGATACACTTGTTAAAATTTTGGCACAAACATTACCTCGAATAGTACCTAATATTATATTGAACAAACGAGAAGAAGTTATACCTTTAATATTAAGCACAGTTCGTTTACATTCCGATTCTGGAGAGAGAGAAAAATTACTACAACTTCTTTTTAATTTAAAAAAAAGACCACAAGAAGAAGAACGACAAATGATATTAGCTGGTTAGTATTTATTCTTAAAAATGTAATTATTTAATTAGAACAAGGGAATATTTATACATATATATTTATTTCATTCATTAGGTTTGGTGGCAATGGCAAAACTTGAAGATGAATCTATTGGAGGAGAAGAAATTTTAACTCTTTGTTGGGAACAAAGTCAACATAAGTATCCAGAAAGAAGATTATTAGCTGTTGAATGTTGTTCTGCATTGGCTCCATACACGTCAGTTTCTATTAGAAATTCCTTGATGCTGTCTATGTTACAACAAATGCTTTTAGAAGATAAAGATCCTTCAGTCAGAGCTAGTGTGGTCAGAAGTTTGGCTCTACTTGTAGCATTAATGGATGATCCAGATAAATATTTTCAGGTAGTATTCTATATCATTTCTAGATGCTATATATATGTATATCTATTAATATTCTTTTGTGTATTTGTAGTGTGAAGAACTTGCCCTAACAGCCTTGAATGATTCTTCTTCTATAGTAGTAAATACAGCATCTTCTATATTTTTACCGATCTTAGCACAATGGGCATTATCTTTAAAAAGATTAAGATCACATCTTTTGCCACGTTTAATTTCTAAAGTAAAAAATCATATAAAACCAGCGAATCCTCAAAATTCACCTGTTAAAGAAAATATCGACGAAGAGAGAATAGAATCATTAATTGGCGTTTTACAATATTTACTTCCTCATACTATTGTATGTGTTGCTGATACTGATACTGTTAGAACTTCTGTAGAACCTTCAATTTCTCAAGAATTACGTAAGTAAATTATAAAAAATACAAATGTAAACATTATAATAGATCTTTTTATATTAACAAAAACTAATTTTTCATTTTAGCTGCAGAGTTTTTGAGCATATGTCATTGTGATATAATCAATCCAAAAGTATTTTATGACGGCGACACAGACGTAGGTGCACTTTTAAATACATTTTTTTCAAATACCTGGGAGAATGATTTATGGCCAGAATTAGAATGGTTCACTAATAAATTGTAAGTATTATAAAATTTATATTTTTGTACTAACTTACTTTTTATACAAAATTATAATGCTTACTTTCAGAATTATAGATATTCTTGAAATAGTAAAATCTACAGAAATAATACAAGAGAGTGTTTTAAATTCATTGCTCACGTATATACAATCGTTGTGCAATGGTTTTGGAAGATATATTACTCAGACAAGGGTAATTCCTAAAGTTTATAGTACTATATAATAGTACTTGAATACGGTAGTATCGTAAATTTTATTTATAGAATTTTTTTTTGTACTGCAGATTCAACCAATATTCCTGCCAGAAATAACGGAATTAGAAAAACAATTGTCAACATTATCAATGGATAATAAAAATCTCAGTTTGACATTGATTCCAGCTTATTTAATTATGCTAAGCACCTTAAATGGCGTTGAAGTCTCAAAATCTATAAAACAATTTTTAGTTGTTCTGTCTATGAGCGGTATCAATATTACAAGTCTTCAGATTGCGATTATAAAATTATGTGCTAAAGAAGAAATGCAAGAGCATGTACTAACAGGCTTATGGGATGGTAATTTATATAATTCTTATTAACTTATTACTGTAATGTTATTTTTTTTTAACTATTTATTATGGCTATATATATTGCAGGTGTGGTGCATCAAAGATCTAGTGTAAGATGTGCAGTTGCAACATTATTTGGTTCTATCATAGCTCACACTTCAGATCGACTGATAAGTGGAAGAATAGTTCCAGCTATTGTAACATTAGCCAGCGATCCAGATATGTAAGCAATATCTTTACTTAAAAAAAAAAAAAAAAAAAATTTAAGTAATATTTTTATTTTTAGAACTGTGAAAGCAGCAGTCATACCTCCTTTAGGTCGTCTTATCACCGAATGTAAAGTTAGAGAAGCACGTGATAAAGCACGGTTAACTTTAGAAACTATTGCTAGAGAATCGCAAAATATTTTGTCTGTATTAGCTACACCTCTTGTTTCAACTTTAGCTTATATCGCTCCAAGTTGTCCTCAAAGTTATATAGAGGATGGTAAGATTTTTAATGTTATACTCTTCGTTTGTGCTCTTCGTGCAACTTTTTTTTATAATTCTATTTGTAACAACAAAATTTTATGTTAATTTAATTATATTGCAAAAACTTGCAACTGATTATAACAGTTAATTTTTATTTAAATTTACAGTGATTGCCACACAATTGACTGGAATAACTGCAACAGCGATGCAACAGAATCGTAAAGTAGATCTTTGCAATGCTTTGGTTGAAGCTTACTCAGTTCTAGTTTATTGTCCGCTAAGCAATCAATGTATCTCTGGAATTATATTACCTGGCTTAAGGCATTTGGAAACTTTGATTAATCAAAATTTGCCGCAACAAAGGGAAACTGTAAAATCTTTATTACGAGAAGCGGAATCTCATCAGGATATTGTTAAGCCAATCGAAAGGTAATGAATTTTTAATAATGTATTTCTGTATATTAGTAGAAATATTTATGTGGCTTTTCTATGATTTTAGATCAAGCTCAATGAGTTCTGGACTTTCCTTATCAATGGCGACAGTAAATGTAGGACAGGGCGTAGAGGATATGCGACAAAGAATGAGCAAGATATTTCAACAAAGACCTGGTTCCTCGACAGTGACGAGTATTTTCAAGAAAAAATAGTTATATCGTTTATAATATTTTTCTATTCTTCGCGCAATGTATATAATTTCGTTTTTTTTAATTTTTTTTTTTATATATATATATATGAATCTCATTATTTGATTTTTTTTAACTTTATCCAGATTTTCTCTTTTTTTTTTCAGTCAATCGTATAGAATAAATATTACGTATAAATACATGCATAATTTTATGCTCGCACAAATTGATAAAATTTAATATTTAAAGAAATTATAAAGTAGAATATTATTTTTAATAAGAGATTATGTTTACTGTGATTTTCTCATAAATATTATTGAAATTGTGGTGTGCCTTTTAAAATGTAATTGTAATGCATGAGAACAAATAGATAATAATGTACGTGCGAGAATAGATTTTCGTATTGCGAGTTCGTAAACAATACGTAAGTGATTCAGTTTTCATTTGTTTTTTGTTCTTTCATTTTTTTTTTATATATTTATGACGAATTCAGATATGTTTTTTTTTATATAAATGCTGATTAGAAATACCTAAAAATTCGTTTCTTTTTTCACTATAGAACTTTTTTCAATATATACTTTTTATGCTTGCGTATAATTTTTACATCTTTTTTTCTATATTTGTTGAGAATAATATCATTTTGAGCCTGTATATATTAAATATGAGGCAACAGTATTAATACACTATATCCATTGCATAACACAATCGTGATTATCATTATGTATAATGCATTTGCTCAAAAAGTCAATAATTAAGATTTATCATTAATATTGTTTTCAATACATGAAAATATGTAATCTCAGAATTGAGTTGTAAATGTTATTATAGTTAATATTTATTTAAAATAATATTTAAAGTTATAATATAGTAATACTTTACCGAATTACATCGGTGATCTAAAAAATTAGTTGTGATAATCAGGTTCTATCAATAACTCTTTCAGAATCTCTGAGAGTGTATATATATATATATATATATATATATATACATTTCATTATTTTCTTAACAATTGGAACTCTATGATATCTAGAATTTTATGTGATAGTTTAGAGATCTATATTCTTTATATATATATATATTTTTTCAGTCTTGTTTCGTACTTAAAATAAATTCATAATGTAAATAAATAATTTTTGCCAATTTATAGGCGAAGACAAAATATATCTAGACTACTTATCAAGATAATTCATACCTTGTAAGAATATTTTATTGTATCTATATGTACAAGTATATATTTTGTGTATATACATTACACGCATCGCGTACGTGACACACACACACACGTCACCGCATATATATATATTCACATATATGCGTATATACAATATACAATAAGTAACATTTTATTGTATTTCACGACCAATGTATCATTATATTATATATGTGTGTATATTAAATATTAAATACTGTAGTATGTATTGTTATCGAGCAAAGAATAAATTTTATAACATATTTATTCTAAATGCATGTTCAACTTCTAGGTACTCATAATTAGTATACTTTAATTTACTAGAAACTCGATCAAGTGACCGAGCAGATCTTTGTGATTAATTTCCACAAACATAAAATAATTGAGCACTCATTCAATAATTTTCGCATTTTACAAACCCTGAGCAATCTAAAGCGATTATAGGACTAAATAATGTTTCCTATGGACGATACGTCCGACTTATCTTCCAGTCTCACAGCAAGGATTCTGCATGCCTTTATATAACAAAAGTTTTAACATGTATTGCATACTTAATTTTGTTTCCGAGTGTGAAACCTCATAAAGGTGAAAAATTCATTGTAATACCTATTTAACTAATACAATAAGGCCTATTCTAAATGATTTCTACTTTTAATTGTTGAAATGAATTGTCGATCGAACAAAAAAATACTTTAAGACAATACAAAGACAATAATTATTAAATTATATTGTTAAATTGTGTCATTTTCTTTATAAGTAAAATCTATTCGATTTGATATATTTTATTTCATAGCGTCATTATAACGGAATTTAAATAAAAAAAAAAATGATTATTCAAATTGTTAATAAACATAACAAATATTGAACTGCTTTAATGTTTTTCAAATTCGAATATTTTATTCGAATTAATTTATATATATATATATCTGTATTTTATTTTCATACGGCTTAGAAAAAGATTTCCGCCCATTTTTTTAATAACAATTCATAATCCGATTAGATCAGTAGTATGCTTATTATCCAAGCTCAATTTATCAATCACCATAGAATTTTTTGAAGACGTTATTATTTCATTGAAGATATAGATGTTATTTAAAAAATCTGCTAAGCATATATTTAGAGAGGAAATAGTCTCAACGACCGCATAAGAAATTACCTAGTTATACAGGGCTAGAACAAATTTGGCTGAGAAGTGGCCTATTGGAGTCACGTTGCTCCCTAATTCTTCGAGGAATACGAGACGCGGCCAAGACACACTCTCAAATGGTCTTCTTTTTCCTTGTCTCAGAATTCCCAGTGAATAGATGCGAAAATTCTGCTCGTGTAGCTAATACACCAAGCGCGGCCTCTGTAAAAAATTATTATGACATAATTACATATAATTACAATCTAACTGTTATGAATATAATGAAATATTTGTGACAAAATTGACGAGAATTTGTACCAACTGTTGCAAATTTATATAAATCATTGTAATTTACCATAAGTTACTACGTTGTCACCAGGTTTATTGCAAGCTTGTTGGAAAATTTTGTCAACATCCTCCGATTGTAAGTGCAATGACAACCTCAAAGCTTTTCTAAGTTCTGCTAGATTAACACACTCCAATGTTTTAGAACCGCAAACCTAAATGAAAATATAATTAAGAATATTTATATATTTAGAAAGAAGTATTTCGTTATTTTTTTTTTTTACTTCTACTATTTATAGATTAATGAAAAACATCAAAATATGTATATGCATGTATTCAATATATACTTACATCTAACGCGATTTCAACCATATCCAATTCACAATTAGCATTTGTCGTTGCCAGTATCGTGAATATATATTCTTCAAGATCTATCGTGCCCTTGCCATTCTAAAAATGAAAATATACGTAGCGAATATATATCATTGGGAAGAAAATAAAATTGAAACAATAGGATCAGCTTTTTTTATAATAAACATACTCGATCGTGAATTCGAAAGAGTTGCTGAGTAGTCGGTTCTTTTTCATCGAGTCTAAGAATCCGTGCGAATTCTTGCAAATTTACTTCCTCGCCGAATTTTTCTGCTTTTTTCCCTAGAAGCTCTTCTTCGGTTTTCGATGCTGCCAAACTATTAACAAGCGACGCTTAATTTGTAGAAGTGTTTGCCAATTAGAGATATAAATATAGTGTAATATTACGATTAATATTGAAAGACTAACCCAAGTTTATTTCGAAGTTTGTGAGCTTCTATTATGGTGGATGCATGAGGTATATGTAACTGATGAGCCTTGCTGATAATTCGACAATCATCATAAGTATAATCTGATACAGGGATTTTTAATGCTCTAAAAACCAAGGAAAAATTGCTAATCAAAATAATATCGCAAGAGAGCAAGTCTTTTACATATGAATATTGATTTATTAATTAGGATTTAATAGTATAAGTATTACTTACTCTGCCATAACACGGCGGACGTTATTCGCATAAAGTTTGGGATCTGTTTTCTCTGCTTCGCTTGGCTTATAGACAGGAAGGAATTCAATTTCGCAACTACTATTCAGCTGGGTTAACGTGAGCCATAATAATTTTAAACTGTAATCAATTGATTAAAATCATGATTCGAATCGAATTAAGTCGTTAGTTTTTAATAGTACCCAAATTTTTATTTTTCAACGATAAAAAATATTTATACCAATATTGAATATTTTTCATCGTAAATTTGTTAATATTCTACTTACGCTCCAGGACCTTCCCATGTCCATGTAACTGTATCTAATTTATTAGGATACCTTATACACACTGGTTGTACAGGTACGCCTGGGTAAAAAGCACCTGACTTAAAAGTTATCAGACACGAACGATTTGTGCAGGTACCCTCTGGGAAAATCATTACCTGACAACAAAATTAATGTTTTCTTTATGTAGTCATTTAAATCTACATTTAATAACTTATCTATAATAAATACAAATTACCTGTGGCCAATCTTCTTTCGAAGTAGCACGTTCGATTATTTCCTTTATCGTCTTCTGTCGTGAATTAGGATCTTCTCTCCATACATAGACCGGTTGCGTGTAATTGATGAGCTCTGAACCCGAAGGAAGAATATGTTAAATCGAAGAGCTCGAATGAAACAGATTTCTTATGATTGCGAGAAATTATAATCATGTATCATCCAAGCTTCGTTCGATTAATAAATGAATTTTTATTCGAACGCAATTATTTTCAGACAGTTAAACGAAGATGCATGAGTTTACATGTGCATGTACTTAAATACATAATTAACATGAATGTAATATAAATTATTATTAAAAAAAAAAAGGTACATTAGAAATCGTAACTTTTTCTTTTATATGGCGAATGGGATACATATCGACGAACATTTTTGGATCGCAATCTTAGTAAAAGTTTGAAAATAAAAAGTATAATTATTAAATTGTATATTAGATTATTCTTTTCTTTTTTTTCTTTTTTTTTTTTTTGTTATAATTAGAAAAACTTGTTTTTCATCAATCACTTGTTTTCTTATATTTGTTGTTTTTGGAGAATTGTGAAATATATTCAGCATTCACATACTTCCGGTAAACGGATTCAATCCTGACTCTCGTCTTACGATGATTGAAGGAAATCCAGTTACGTAGACGATACCACCGTCGATGAACGTTGAATGCGGTGCGACCACCAGAATCGGTGCCTCTGCTCTTGAAGCTTGTTTGCCGCGTACGATGATTCTCATTCCTCCTGCCTGGTATGTCAGTCGTCCCAGAAAGCACAACCAGGGAACTATTTTGCTGCAGGTTGTAATCCACACAATGCTATACTTATTTAAATTTCATTCGACGAGGACTCGATTCGAATTTAATCAATTTAATTGCTTCAAACAAAATTTTACTTCTTTTTTATTTTTTATTTTTTTTTTTTTTTATCAACAATCGAATTGCACTTTCTCGTCATTAAAGTTAAATTCGTGTCTCTTTCTCGATTATTTTTAGAAAATTAATATGCATTATAAAAATAAGATAAGAAAAAAGAAAGAAATATCCATCGCAAGTTTTGTATGTAGAAAAAGTCGACGAAGTAATTTGTAGAGTTCAGTGATCTTCCTAGACAGGAAGATCTTAATGACGTTATGATCTTCTTCTTTTTCTTTCAATGTGGCAACATGAAACAGGAAAGTAAGAGGAAAGATAAAGCCAGTAGTCTATAATGAATAGATATAGCCGAATAGAATAATCCCTCTGGCTAATATAAATTTAAGATATAAATTTTGTCAGTTCATAAGCTGATGTGTGTAATTACTTAATGTTATCTAATTTTAAAATATTTATTTTACACCTATGGCGCAATCCATTGAAATTGTTAATAATTATATTAATTGTATTGTTAGTTAAAATATATGTTCCCAGATATATAATCCCATCCACCATATGTATATACATGCGTGCATATATTTATATATAAAAGATAGACAAATATTTAATTATTTAACATTACATTTATACTTATCCAAAGATCGCATATTTTTTTTTTTAGAATGAATTTAAATAGATTCATTAACTTTTCTTTATATTTTACGAACGAACCGATTTCAATATTTATTTATTTGTAATTTAAAATAAAAATTAAAAAGCTGGAAAAATTGTTCACACAGAACAATGATTTATTTCCTTTATTTATTCATTTATTAATGGGAAATAATTTTTGGATAATTTTTTCGTGTGTTGCAAAAAATGGTTCGAACAGATGTTCAACCATTGTACGTTTTCACCATTGGTGAATAAAAAGGAAAAAAAAAACGATGAGATTATGAGAATTGTGACCTACTTCCGAAGAATGGAATGCGGCCCGTCTCTCCTTTGGCGACTATGCTCGGTCCACCAAGGTAAACGACCGGAAGTGCATCGAAGAAGCTCGAGTGTGGTGCAAGGGCTAGCACTGGAGCATCCTTTGTTTCCGCTTTTTGACCTTTCACCTTCAGCTGATGAAATCCGCCACAGACGAATAATGCTCGCATCATCCAGCAGATCACGATGCGCATGTCTCTGTTTCGTCACACGTTTCATATATGTGATGATAATTTTATTCGATGTTAGAAAAGCATACTCGAGTCTTTTTAACGGCTTTCGATGAAAGAGAAAGGGAGGCAAACAGAATGCAACTAAGTACCTACTTTCGTTTCTATGTAATATTGGTAAATTCACATGCGAACATTACTCCTTTGAGCTAAGCGTTTTCTATTTCGTTGCATTAATAAATATTGTTTTAATTAAATTTAATTGAACCGATTTTTCCAAAATCTTTGACTTCCATCATGTCAAGTAACATGTATCGCTAAGAAATTCGATAATAAGAATTACATGACACATTTGGATTTAACGATCTAATATTTATTAATTATTATTTTTCTATATCTACAACGAACAAAGACAATTATTAAAATTATTACTAGTATTTATCGCTTCGGAATTATCTTGAACTTGAACTTACGCATTCCCATCGAAGCCTCTAGACTAGGTATAGATATTTTTATTATTTCAGAAGGTGTTCCAAGTCGGAAATTCATTACCATCGGTAATATATACTCTAATAGAAAATTTATATAGCGAGTGCGAACGATAAGAAGGTCAAGGATATTTATAATACAAACCAAACGTACTAATAATTCATTTGTTCTTTTTTCTTTCTTTTGAAAACAAATTAAATTGAAATCAAGGGAAATCAATTTAAATGAATGAATATCGGTATTATTAGCATTTCAACTGAAGATTTTTTTTTTCTAATTAAAACAATTGACTTTTCACAGGAAAGACCGTCCTTCTTTTCGCATTTCAATATAATAGTTCGCATTGAAAATTTAACAGATGTCTCAAGCGTGTACTTTGGATGTCATTTATAGAACGTGGAGTCATAACAGGTGTACGAAGGTGAAAGCTGTTCGATATGAGATAGAAAATCTGTATTTCGAATTGTTATTTACATATTATTGTGCAATATCCGATTTGATTTCATGCAAGCTTTTTTAAATTTTACATTAATTTTATAGATTTAGTAATCATTTAAAAGCGATTAAATGTAAAATGTAATTTATTAGTATCTGAAATTTAACACATAATAAATGTGTTAAATTGAGTGTGTGATCCCAATTGGCGTCTTAAATGGTTAACGATTTGTGAGATATAATGAAAAATTCATGTAAAAGCGAGCCGGATGATATATAACATAGCAGAAATTTCTAGTCTCGCAAATGTTTTGTTGATGCATCAACGATCTATTTAGAATATTAAACATATTGAAATAATACTTCTATTAAATGAATATAATAAAAGTCAATTATATATCTTAATCTTAAATATACGCTTAGTTATAATCATTTTCTAACTTTCGTATTAGTTGTTTAATTTTTTTCAAATTTCACCTAATACATCTTGAAACAATTTTAAATATTGTACTATCAATATTTATAAATAACTTAATTAATTCTGATAATTTCTTTGATCATAGTAACAATATCATTAATAAATTTAGAACTTAATTTAATTAGCATACTATTTATCACTATATTATTTTATTTACCTACCTACTAAACTAATGTTATTATCACTATAATGGTTTCTCAATAGGTAATCTTTCAGGACGAAGTGACATTTTATAAAAATATAATTTACTCAGTTATTACTTTATATTAATGTAGATATGACTAAATACATAGTTGAATGCATCAAAACATTGATTGTGTTACTAATGCTGTGAATTTTGCAGGATACAGTTTAATTACAATGTAAAGCGAATAGAATTACAAAATTATTGCGTTAGGAAATTTAATCCAACTAATTTGTTCTTTATTATCGACTACTGTCATGTTAGCGCTTTCACTATAGCATCATCATCATCGAATAAATACGTTGCCGCTATACGAGTAATCAAAAAACACGTATGCACTTTACCGCGAACCAAACGTATACTTTATCGTTGATAGAGTATGGCATTTGATACTTTGTCACGTTATATAAATAATTTGTTTCAACATTCAAATTTCATGGAACTAAAATATAGCTAAAGCTATAAATGTATGTGAAAGGCATAGATTGGATATAGCGACTGTGCGATGATGAGCGACTACAGTCATCATTGATAACGAAAGAGTTAACATGGAAGAAGCAAGTGGTGATATGCCATGCAGGATCAGCCAAGAGGGAAGGTATAAAGGTTCATTTATATAGAATCGTGCCGTGGTCATACCGTATCCCGGTTATGCATTGGACTCGAATTGGTTACTATAGTTTTGTATATAATAGTTTATATATCATTCATGTCATATCCATCGTCATCCGTGGCCCTGATAATCTCCGGTTACATTTGATAGCCTCCAATATTTCTCTTATTTCCTAGTTTCACCATGGAGAGATACGGTTACAACACTGAGATAATTGTGTAAACGTGTTTAAAAGTATTTTATTAGTCTATGACTTTAAATCGGAGACATTCACGGACGGTCTTCGTCAATCGTATATAAATATTCGGAATGATCATGACACGATTATATATGAATGCATGAATGTTCGGACAATGTTTCGGACACGAAACAATGGCGTCATCATTTCGGACACGGAACATGGCCACAAATAGATTTTTATTCGTGGAATCTTCGAGAATATAATAATCTTTTTTAATAAAAATAATTTTTCTTTGTGTCAACAATAAAGAACTCTCTCAAGCTGTACAAACAAGCTGAATTATTTAAATATAATTTCAATAATATTTATCTTGAGAGTTTAAAGTTATCAATGTTTCTATCTATGAGAATTCTATGAGAATTCTATGAGAATTCTATTCGTCTTTTATGTATAAATAAAAGATAACGAAATGCATAATAATAATATTTAGAAAAGTCTATTTTGAGAAAAATATAAACATTTTTTTTAATTTTGTCAAGACTTACCGTCTCCATCCTTTAAGAGGCGCTTGACGTAAATCTTCTTCAGAAAGTCCATAGAGACCCAAACAAGCTAAAAGCCAGGCCATTATTACTAAAACAGTAATCGCAGCTAGCCTTAATGGTAACAGAGCTACCGTCAAGAATGCCGTCTGTAAAACGAAATGTTTACATGTCAGATCGAATTTATGTATTGAGATATAGATTATATCATTAATTTAAAATAAAATAAAATAATTATTTGTGACTTCGTCTTCGACGGACTTTCTTTTTGTCGATTTAACCGATTTTTTTTTCTCTTTAGAGAAAAAAACAGATCTTATATCTTATAGATAAAATGTTTTACCATCTGTTGAAATGATAAGATGGATGCAGTAGAAGAAGAAGAAGAAGAAGAAGAAGAAGAAGAAGAAGAAGAAGACGAAGCGAAAGAGATAGAGAGAGTTAAAGAGAGAGAACGAGTACCGTTTGATCGTTCCGTTAGCCTGGCTTGCGTTGCAAGTTATCGTTTCACGTGTATTTCTCTCACTCGATCTTTCAAGATCGAGGTTACGGCCGAAAGATTATTTTTGATGCACCGAGGATGCTTTCGTGGACTCAACGGTACAAGGTTGCATTCGCTACTGTCTTTATTCTTCGTTCGCTTCTTCGGCATCTTTTTGTGTCACGAAAAATTTATATGAAAGAAAGTAGTACAGGTTTTTTTTTTTCTGAATCATCATGTGAACCAAGGTCATTTTTTTAAGTAGTACTTCCGTGTTGTAAAACGAGTTTTCAAATTTATAGTCTATTATTAATTAAGATGTCGAATTTGATTATATGGATCCATGTGGATTTTGATATCCGAAATGTGTGATACACGTGATAAAAAAGAATATAACGGTAGTTCGTAAGAAACTGTGTCGAAGCCTTTAGAATTCATGTTAGAACTTTTTCCTCATTAAAAATTTTAATGATACCTTCTTCCTCTTCTTTCATCTTCTTTCTTATTGTTATCTCTTTATTAAAGATAATTTCTTATTGTAATCTCTTTATTAAAGATAATTTCTTTGAAAAACATATTATCGTGATTATGATTTCTTCGATTAGTTAAATTCTATTCAACTTCTAACAGATATATTAGAACATTGAAAGTATTCGAAGAAAGTAGGTATATAACTGCAGTAGATAATCTCGTTCTAAAACACGCGTCATTCATAGCAATTACTTTCGTTCGAATTCTAGGCAGGCTATAATTTATTGTAAAGAATTTTATCACTTTATTTGATCACGTACCAATTAAATATTATAGATATAGTTTATTAAAACTACAAGTTTGATGGATTTTCTTTTCTTTTATGTTTTTATTTAATATGAAATTTGTCTATTATGTCTTACGTTTGATTAAATTTATCGAAATGAGGAACTATCGTTCTATTAATAAGTTCATCGTAATTGACATAAAATTTACTATTAAGAACAAAATGGAAATTGATCTGGATTCGAATGTTCAAAAGATATAAAAACATTTGTAAATAATGATTCAATGATATTACGAAATTTCTTTAATCATCTACATGATAATGAGATTGCTAATATTAGCATTCAAAGTAAGGTGCAGGCGAGTTTTCTGATGAACATTTTTAATGAGCCTTACAATGTCGTTTACCTACTTATTCAAGGACTCATAAAGTATGTTGTTAACCTTCCTATTATGTCACATAGACACAACAAGAAGAAACAGACAAATTGTTATGTTACATCAAACATTATATTTCTTGTTTCAACCTATCTAATCCTAACGGAATACTTTTCTCGTAATTTGCTCGGATGTCGAGTCTTAAGATCAACCTCACGCGTACTGTGATCATGACCAAGAATTGTGTCAAGGTGTTCCAGAAAGATGAGAAGAGACTATTTCTGACAAAAGGAGTTCATATTATAAAATTTTTCGAAAGCAATATCATTATTAATAATTTATTATATCGAGAGAGAGAGAGAGAGAGAGAGAGAGAGAGAGAGAGAGAGAGAGAAAGAGAGAGAGAGAGAGAAAGAGAGAGAGAGAGAGAGAGAGAAAGAGACATATAAGAATATCTTATAAAGATAAGTAAGCAAAGGGCAAGAATGACGTAGGCGAAGGGTCAACTTTCTGTCATTCATTCTTTTTATTTTTTCTTTTTTTGTTATTCACACGGAACACATTTCACCGAAGTAGATCCTTGTATTTTGTGACCTACATCTGGCAAGGCAAAGTTAGTCAAAGAAGTGGGAGACGTTCAACTTTTTCTTCTTCTTTTTTTTTTTTTTCTCTCTTTTATCCTAGGGAACAACGAAAGAAAGAACTTCATTTTGATTACTTTGTGCATTATATTTTATCTTTCATTCTTGTCAATAAATGTATCTCGTTTGATCTTATTAAATTAATTAGATGCATCTTTGTTTTATGTAAATAAGAATAATACTGTATAACGAGTATTGTATATAATTCCATTATAAATATATGTTAAACTTCTTATACTACTGATTTCTATATTACAAGTGTCTTTTTTTTTATAGAAATAAATAATCTTAAGATTAAGAAATAATAATTAAACGAACGTAGAGTTTTATTTGTCGTGGATTTTTAAATTGTTTTTAATATCATCGTCTGTATATTCCGTATATTACAAACGGACAAAGGCTTTATTCTAAAGCATATTTTTAAAACGTTGTCAGAGGAAAAAAAAGAACATGCGCTACATAAGGTTTATATTGCATGTCGGGATATTTGCAGTGAGAGCTGGGAAGTGTCGAAGAATAAAGATAAAAGGCGTCGACGGTCCGTCTTTATAGCTTTTCTTGCTTTACGAGTTTAACTTTCCGATTCATTTATGGTAGCTTTTTCTTTGTGAGTATAACATTTCGAAATTTCAAATCGCCATTAGGATAGATTACTGTACGAGTAATATAGTCGATGTTTGAATATAATTTATTTTATATAGGACAACAAAATTTACATATATATTTATATATAAGTAGGTAAATATGTCTTTGTGTGTATGTGAGTTTTGGAGGACTTTGGTAAAGAAAGAAATTATTTTTCTTTAAGTCGAATCTTATTTGATATGACCTACTTTTTTTTTCTCTTCATTTGCTAATGATGTTTGAGCCTCTTTTTAAACACTTGAAACATTTATGAAATTTTACACGTGTATTCTCATTAGCATTTATTTTAATAAATTTTATATGCTTAGTTGCATAAATATATATATACATATATATATATTTTTTTTTAATATAAAAGAATAGATGGATAAAAAGAATGAAATGACTTGTAGATTTATGAAGTGGATTTTTTTTTATTTTTTTGGATAGAATACATATCAATATCTATAATATTAATTTGTTCGATTGTATATGTATGCAACATGTATTGAAGTATTGCAAAAATATATTATAAATTTCATTTAATAGTTTTATCCTCAATTTGCCTAGATTCTTAATGAATAATAATTATTTTCCGTTGATCGACTTTCGCTCGCTTTATATCCGAGACTCGCATTGAAAATCGCTTTCACTGATTAGCGACATAGAATCGAGAAGTATCATCCGGCGCGAAGCGGTTTGAAATTATAATTTTCTAGTTGAGAAATGTATTACGCTTAATAATGTTTTACGAAAGACGTTTTATTCTCCACTTACCATCCTTTCTATTGCAGATTTAAATATAATGGAGATCTAAATATATACTGTACTTCGAATATTTGTCAATGAGAAAAATCGTGAGAAAAGTTTTTCGATACGAAAAGAATAAAAAATTTGAATTCTTAAGAAAATATTAATGTTCATTTGATAGCAACAATATTAAATATTTATTTGAATTCAATTATATTTTTCATTTAACTTTTACGTTAATGTAATCAATCAGGTAATACTGACTACTAAAAGTAATATGAATGTATTATAGTTATAGACACGTGTCCGAATAATAGTCTTATGTATGAAGAAATTAAATAATTTTTTTAATTAATTTAAATTAGTACAGATTCAATAAATGAAGTGAAATTATTGATAAGAATTTAATGATAAGCTTATAAATTATCAATTAACTAATCGTTAACGAGATGTTTACAAATTGTTCATTTCCTCATTATTCCGTTATACAGATAAGCACGTATATAGTGAATACAATGTATAATCATATAACCAATATTTGTTTAAACTTATCAAACGTGGTAGTCAGTCACGCACTAATTTTTATGTAAAAACAAAAAAAGAAAAAGAAAAATAAATAAAGAAAAAAGAATAATATCCGTGAATGTAACTGTAAAGAAAAGGTTCGCATTACATACGACAATATGACATGTACCACAACTTTCTCCGTCTGTCTCTCTTTCTCTTTGCCTTTTTTTTCATGTGCACACACATGAAAGTATACATCGCGCTCGCACACATAATTGTTAAAGAGATTTCTTTCTCCAAGATGTTCCGAGGTTTCGAATACCAATATCATTCATCGATACCTTTGCTATCCCCCTTCTTCCGATTTAATCATCTCTCGACTTTTCGAATCTTAAAAAAATTACTATGAAATATGAAGTTCTTAATGATAATTTGTTATTATAGTATAAGACTTTACATTGGATGGTGTACGTATTTAATTCGTCATGAATCGAAATTAATTTTATAGAAAAATGAATTATAATGATTTGATCTATAATATATTGATAAAACAATATCATCAAGTATTCAAATTTTAATTCATTTCGTTTTATTATTTTTTTTCGTCATATAAATTAGTTGTAACATTTTGTTTTCCTTTTTCTCGATCGATAGTTCAACGATCGATATTTCCTCTCCCCCTCCCCTCTCTCTATTGAAAAAAACACAATTTATTGTTACATAATGAAACCGCATTGGTTATTGGCTTACAAACAACTGTGTTGACCTTTTAAAAGGTATATTTCCGTTCTAGTAAGCAGATATAATAAGGACTAAGACATTATTCAGATAGATTATTTTTTTTCTTTTTTTCTCTTTCATGCGTACGTAAATTATCTTTAATAAGTATAAGTAATAAAAAATTATATACATTGTAATATTTTTGTTTTGAAACGTTAGATATTTTTTCCATTAGTATTTTTTAAAAATACTTTCTGAACATCAGAAATAATAATTTAAACGTCGTTATTATATATTAACGTCATAAAGAAGATATTTTTTTAAGGAATCTTATTATTTATTATAATAATCAATACTTATGACGTGAATAGTTCTATTTAAATACATCTTAAGATACAATGTTAAAAATGATTTAGGAATTTTTTCCAAAGGACTATCCTATTTTAATACGTGAACGAAAAAATTAAAATGTTTTTTTAAATGCAAACAAAATGTATTTGCAGATGACTATAACAAAATATGTTTTGTACTGTATAAAGGCAACTATATATTATACGGAAATTATAATGTTTGGAAGACTTTCTATGATCGACAAGGTGCAACGTTTGTACGAGTGAAAGCAGCGATTTGAAGAGAGGTATTTAATTCGTCTATATGTCACTCTTTTATCTAATTTTCAGTCAATATTAAAATTGTAAAAGAATATCGATATTAGATCGGATAATATAATCAGGTCATTACATCAAAAGATATCTATTTCTTTTTTTTTCTTTCCTCAGTAAAATTATAATTTTCTTTTCTCTTTCCTTTCTTCAACATACAACCTACATATTAAATCGTTGAATGTCATGAGCGCTCTACTTCTTTCTATATAGCCGCTGGCAGACGGTTAAGAATGTTGATATTAGCATTAAAGTATTACAACGAGAAAAGTTGGCTGATTTCATGATGACGATCTTTCAGCTATCCTTAGTTCGACAAGCATCAGGTGAAAGTGACGACTGACAGCGTCGTTGAATATATAAAATTATGTTTTAGAATCGATCATGAATCATTCCGACAACGAACAGTTGATGTCCTTATCAAGGTGAATATTATTTCGTTCTCTTGCGAAAGAATTGTTTAAAATATAGAATTCAACTAGGGTCTATAATTGTTATCGAGACGTGATCTTATTTAGTGATTCTATATATATTTATATATATGTTTATATATATATATATATATATATATATATATCATATACATATCTATATCTATGTCTATATATATACCAAACTAGAATTTAAAAAGTAACTAGAAAAACGAAAAGCCATGTCCTAAAGAATATAATAATTATTATAATAAAAATATAATAATAATTGCCGGTAATTATTTACGAAGAGATACACAGTATATAATTTACAAGGGGAGAGGTTAAGACCTGATTCTTAAACTCACCCCTCATGACTCGCCCGACTACGGACAGACGTGCGAGCATCGATCCCAAGGGAGGGTTTCCGCGTGTGAAAGGAGTGTATACGTAGAAGGGCTCACGAAAGAAAAAGAGAGATAGATAGATAGATAGATAGAAAGAGAGAGAGAGAGAGAGAGAGAGAGAGAGAGAGAGAGAGAGAGAGAAATACTGACCTTGAGTTTATCGTAGGTCGTGTCGAGTTCAAGTCGATGAACGAAAGGATTGAGGAGATCGGCGCTGAGGGTTGCAGCATCCACCTCTTCGTGCTTCTTTCCTACCCTCCCGTTAATTTCCTCCATTTTTCTTTTTCCACGTGAACCTTACTTTTCCCGAATGTGGAGAGCTAACGTTTCGTTTCTTTTTGTCCAGTACGCGTCCTTAAATATTGTCTGATACGACGAGGGGAAACGACGACGCTCGTCACTCTTCGTCAATAACGATTCTCGTCGGCGAAGAAACAGACTGAGAGGTAACGTAGCTCGTAGGAAGTGGGAGAAGGTCGAAAAAAGATTAAAACGGAGAAAGACGGGATATATATATATATATATATATATGTATATATATATATATAAAGAGAGAGAGGGAGAGAAAGAGAGAGAGAAAATAGAGAGAAAGAGAGAAAGAGAGAAAGAGAGAAAGAGAGAAAGAGGAACAAAGGAGAAAGGGAGAAAGATAGATATAGAAAAAGAGAGACGAAGAGAGAATGAAAAGTCGATGATCAGTCACGACGAAGCATCGCTACACACGCGTAAGGGTTGTCGGTCTACAACGTACTGTGCCTTGCCACCCGTTTAATATCGTGAAGCGAACGACCAATCGTCGTGCACGTTTCCTCGTCCGATTACTAGCGAATCCCGACGAATCTTCCCGAAGCATCGTGTGCGCGCGCATGTCGGTGTAAGAGAAATGCTTTCGCTCGTTTTCGGTAGGTATCCTTTTGGAACACGAAAACATACGAATGAGATCTTTGGATGCGCCATTTTTCTTCTAATAATAAGGGTGAATTTACACGATTTCCAATTTACGCTTATGTTCAACGAGAATAAGAATAAAGATTTTGATGGTATATTAGGAACATAACGCGGGATTATTTCTTTTTTCAATGATTATATTACTAAGATAAGAGTTTAGACTTTTTTCCCTTTCCTTATATTTTTTTTCTTTTTTTTTTTTCATATGAATGAGAATATGATATATAGTAAGGGAGGAAGATAGGAATTGTAAGTTTTTTTCGATGATATCTTTTCAGGATATGGGGATAATGGTCCCTTTATCAGAATGCGAAGAATTAGAAATAATATATACCTATCGTTATACAATGACGATATAACTAATACAATATAGACTCGCATATACCTATGCACGTTAAAGATCAATAGTGCTCTCGAGAAGGAATCGTGCGCATCGTTCTTCTGAATTTGTCCTTGACATATTGTTTTAGTGAATCCAAAATTACTACTCAAAATCGCACGTGAAAATAGAATAAAAATTTATTTGACAGTTACTGAGAAGCATAATATTATTTCGAATAAATTTACGAAATTTTAAGTGAAATACCTTGCATTTTCAAGTATAACGTTACATTAACGATGTATATTATACAGCGTGAAAAGACAGACATAGTGAAAAATTATTTGTAGCAACATTTGTTATCTTACATTATGCAACGTTATTTTTATCAGTTTTTTTCTTTATGTAGAAATTTTCACATATGTATAGAAATATGGTATTAGCATCTTTTTTTTTCTTTTTTTTTATCTTCTCGTTTGATTGTCGGTAAATTATTTATAATGATGTGTATAAATTATATCGGTAAATTATTTATAATAATATGTATAAATAAAATTTATAAAATACAAAAATTTATCTTTGTATATATATTTTACATAACAATAGTTCGTTTTCTGTTTCGAATGAACGAAATAGAATTACTTCCTTGATCGATAAAACATATAAAATTATCTTGATACTATTTGTGAAAAGTTTCGAAACACAGAAATGTATTTATACTTTAGTATGATCATAATTCTTTTTATTGTGCATCGATTCTATCGATTTAAGAAATTCATTAATAACTAAATTACATCAAAATGTTATGTATGTTAAATTTGTTGGATCACAATAATTCTAGGAATTGAAAATGATGTAATTTGTGAGCTTTCGTACATTAGCTGGTTCATTAGTAACGTCTTAACTATTATGACTCACAGTATACACGATGCACTTCAATACTGCATTGTTCGAAAAAGATACTCTACTGTATCAAACACAAAATATAATTGGCCATAATGACATTATTCATTTAATTCTTATAATAAATTATATTTTTCCATTAAAATCACACCGTCATCACAATTATTATGAATCGTTAAAAGGAATTCTTTTTAAAAGTCAATTCACATATTCCAGTTTGATCTTCGTTTCGTCTTCGTTTCGATTGTTCAGCCAGAGTGATTTTGACATTATTGCATGTAATTTAAATGTACCGTTCACACATTTCCGTTCAATCTCAGTTCAGTCATCGATGCGTAATACATCGATGCAAAATCCGAGATCATCATTAATAACGTTTCTCTTTTTAAATGATTGACGAAATTCTAATAATATCTATTATCTGTAGATCCAAGAGATTTTTGATTGCTTCAACTATTTCTATCTTTTATACTCTTGACGTTTATAGAGTAGCATTTTTAGACATATCAATTTTATACCGTTATCAATATCACACGCGCAATTATTATCATTCGTTTAAATTGATATTTCAGTTGTCATTTTAATAAAATTATCTTTCGGTTAGTTATAATACCAGGCTATTTTGTGAAATACATCTTTGAAATCGAAATTTTCTTCTCTAAATCTTGTAAATCATTTTCTACACATTGAATCAATTATAGCATTCTCTTTATGCAGAAATTTTTTTCACGTGTTCACTATGAGTTTTTGCCTTTTCGATAATAAAAAAAAAAAAAAAAAAAAAAAAAAACACATAACGAAAATGTTTTCTATTTTTCGACGTGTTTAAAATTTTGACGTGTCCAAAAAATGCTACGATTATATTGATCATAACAAAATCTTATTAAAATGTTACCTGAAATAATATATTTTATCAAATGAAAAAAAGTATTTACGTGTGTGAAATTGTTATTAATGGTACAAAATAGCGATGTTTTGCTAACAAGCAGACAAAACATTGCAATTTATTAAAATTCCTTCAGTTATTTAAAAAAAATTTCGTTGACTACGATTTTTATTACCGTAATTGACCACCGTAACCGAGCGAAACGTAGACGAAACATTGAATGAACTGAAATGTGTGAATTAATGTTTTTTAACTTGTAACCTTTGGCCGGAGATAAAGGAAATATTCTATCACTTCGTCCATTTTCACCTTTTATGTTTTCAACGTACACAACGTAAAATCTACATAAATTGAATCTACATATAGTGAATATAAATTATTAAAATTGAATTGTGACAAAACTGAGATGGAATGGAAAAATAACGGAGACTGAACTGAAATGTGTGAATCGACCTTTAAGAATACAATGGCATATATACCGTTTAGTCTGCTTTTGTATCAATCACAGACGGTACAGTCAATAATTACCGAACTAACAATCGATATGTATGTGGAGTGAATAAACTTGTTCGTTTGAAATTCTCTCGATAACGAGTAAATCGAACGTTTTAATAAAAATGTGAGTTGCGTATACTTTTCGTTTTATATATATGTATATATATATATTTAAAAAAAAGAAAAATATTAATTATAAAAGTAAGCTTCACGTAAGGATCCTCTCACGTATGCAATATATTTCAATTGCAGTTCCATCAGTATCGGTCGATTAGCGAAGTTGTCGACTTAACCTCTAAACAGTATGACGAAAGAATTGCATAAAAGTCTTATAAATTATTTTACGCATTTAAAGAAATTAGACGAAAAATGGTTGGAATTATTCACAGCTGCGGAAAGACCGTTGCAAGCTTTAAAAAATCAATGCGAACAATTACATTTTGTCTCCAGGTATATTTCTTCATATTTCTGTCGTTTACATATTATCAGATATAGAAAAATATTTAACCGGACTTCCGTAGTAGAAAACTACGGTTTCTGTAGTGTGGAGTTAATTCAGTAATATTTTTCAAGATGTCGCTTTTTTTTTACAGTGAAGATGTAGATAACGAAGAAATCTGTATGATCGATTACGCGCGAGAAAAACTTATTTTTAAAATTTTCATCGGAATAGAAAACGAAATTTCCCTTTTACAAGATATATTACAGCGTTTAAATGACGCCACTCAGGTAATCATTCAAAAAATATCTCTCCTAAAAATTTATCGACGGACGATTGAACGCTGTTTGTGAAATAGTTGGAAGATAAATGATATATATCTTTTCTTTTTTCAGGATTTAAAAAATCGACTAACAAATTTGGAAAAATCTCGGAGTAATGTTTCGTTACACGACGAAGATATGAAAGATATTGTAAATGGAACACCTTATAGACCAAAATTAAATTTACTTTTAGAATGGGCTATCGAAGGCTTTCAATATTATCACGAGTTGTATCCTTTGAAATAATGTTTTTTTAACAGATTATTATTATAATTTAGAATCATAAATATTTAGACAATATTTTATATGTGAAAAGAAGAATCATTTTTTTAAAAGGATTTTTATTTTATGCAGATCGTTACGTTATCATTTCTTATTCCCAAATTATAGATATCTTTCTATTAATAAAAGCATGAAAGCGATGAATTATAAAAATGAAGAATCAATTGATAACTTTGCAGATTCTTTTGTAGAAGATCGTTACAAAAGAATCAAATTAAATAGTAAGACTTTCAATATAATTTTATCTAATAATCTAACATTTATATTATAAGATTAATTCATGACATATATTTCAGGGATATTAGCTTTTACTCAATTTTTAATAATGGAAAAGGTTCAATAAATACTATTAAACAATTTCTACCACATCTTTGTCTCCTATCTATTTTTTAATTCCTTTCTAAGAAGATTTTATGAAATAATCGAAATTACTATAAATGGCGCCATAGATCCGATGGTTATTCAAAGCATTTCTCAAATTAGCCTCTACAAAATAGATCGTCCTAACAAAATATAATTTACGATTTTTATATAAAAATACAAATTGTTTTATATATTTGTTAAGAGAAATGTTAATTTTAATTTTTACAATAATATAAATAGATTTTCATGTTTACATACAAAGAGATTGATCGCTCAAAAGTATTACATTAATTTCCTTTGCTTTAGAATTGCATAAAATCGTTAGTTTTTTTTTTAGGATTTTGTCAATAAGCTCAATGAAAGGGTGTCACGTTCTCTAATGATCGACCAATCAGCTTACGGATACGAATTAGACATATTTTTGATCGAAATGTCTTTCGGAAGCGTCGGGGCGCCGGCGCCTGCTATTGATTCCGGTGTATATCGTAATTTCAAAAGTTACCATCGTGGTAGAGGGTGCCACAGTAGCCAACTCCTCCTTGTACTGGAAGGAGACCCTCGCGCTTTTCTTCGTTTCACCCTAACAGGTCAGTGGTGAGCTTGCGACGATACTTTTCGTCGGAATACCAATTGATCCATTTTTTTTTTTACATTGATCATTTGTTTTCGCAACATGAGAGTATGTTGCATCGTTAAATATTTTTAAGCAATGTATTATAGTGAGAACACTTTTCAATAGAACAAAGGCATGATTTTATCGAATGAAAAATTTATAGAGTCGTAGACAGACCGGTTAAAAAGGATTAAAATCAATGAAACATAGTAAATATAAATGTGAAACAATTTACTGATTGCTTCTTACGTTAATGACGTCAGTGGTGTACCGATACTAAAACTTTTATCACCTGTAAAGGATTGGCGCCCCGGAAATTGCGAGCGGTCTATCAAAAATTTTATTTTTTTCAAAAATGTTACATAAACATATGTTCGCGCAAAGAGCAATAGTTCTACGATCCATATTCTGATTATTTGATAAGCATTTATTTGATATATTTCAACCTTTAAGTAAAAAATTCGCTCTTCTCCATACGAGTGTCAACATATGGTATGTTTAAAATTAAATAATGTTTCTAAATGTTTCTGTTAATATAAATTTTATTGCCATTCTTTGATTTATTTTTACACCTTATCGTGATACTTTATTATATATAATATATACATACTTATACTACATATATACTTGTATATATATATATACATATATGTAGAAAGTTCAAAATTAAATAAAACAAAAATTTAATCGTACAGTATTATTTCGTATATTTTTAACGAAAAAAGTGATAATTTTTCTTTGATAATATCTACACAAAAGAACCTGTCAGTAATTTTCATTAGTAAGACGTAACATATATATATATATATATATATATATATATATATATATATATATATATATATGTGATATATGTGTTTTCTTCGCTTTGTAATAATACATATATATACATATATATACATATGTATATAATGCTTTAGGGCATATCTTATTAATCTTTCATGTTTGCGTCGCTTGACAAGAATAAAATTCAAAAAATAGCTTCGTATATTTCACGCATTGATATAATTATTAATATTTTTATAATTTTATTTCCAAAAAATTTAGCAAATAGAATTATTAAATTTGATTAGTCCATTAATAATTTCTCGCAAGAATTTGTGCATTTTTATAAATTGAAATAAAATTCTAGCATAAAAAAGAAATAAGAGAAAAAGAAAGTAGAGTATAATATTATATACATTTTTTTTTCACAAAAATTAAATAAAAAATCATATACATTATTTTGATCAATCAAAATATTTTAATTAATTTGTTCATGATAGGATGGAGTACATAGGTATACATGGAATATCCGATTGATCCTCATAATAAACAATAACTCTAAAGGAATAATAGGATATATCGAAAGAAATCAAAGAAGACTGAAGAGAAAAAAAAATGGCAAACACGGCGCATTTAGTCCGTCGTCAAAGTTCCCGAGATTTAAAGCCACAAAAGAGCGTCGATAAATTGGAAATGAAAGAGATGAGAGGTAGATTAGTCGTGGACAATCGTAAAAATATTACCAGTGTCAATTACGGAGCTACGAACGCAGCCTTTGATGATTCCAGTCCAAATAAAAAGGTACATAAATTTCCTTTATCTAATTTACGAATATTTTATCGCATTTAAATATGTATTTAACGATTATTTTATGTATATTAAACATGTATATGTTAATTCTTTTATATTATACATATTCGTTATTCGATCCATTAATTATAGAGTAAACCGATGAACGAAGGTGAAAATAGTAAATTAGGGAGTAACGAAGGTAAAGGAATTTTTCGACCAGAAGCTGGCGAGGATGAACGTGAAAATTGGGATAGCAAACTCACGTTTCTTTTGGCTACTGTCGGTTATGCCGTTGGCCTCGGAAATGTATGGAGATTTCCTTATTTGGCACAAAAAAATGGTGGAGGTACGTTCATCGAATAATTTCATATTATCATTATATTGTATCGATTTTAATAGGAAATATACAGATAGAACATTTATATTTATATCTCTTTTCTCGAAGAAAATTTTATACAACGAGGACAAGTGTTTCAATTAGCTATGATCTAGGTCATATCGAGAGGCATATATTTTATATGAATATTTATTAGAGAAACGTGGTAGTATTTAACATCATATATATATATATATATATATATATATATATATATATATATATTCAATGAATATAATAAATATTTTAATCTGTTTATTTATTTATAGGAGCATTTCTGATACCCTATTTTGTTATGCTGGCGATCGAGGGTATTCCTATATTTTACCTTGAATTGGCTATCGGCCAAAGATTAAGAAAAGGAGCCATCGGTGTTTGGAATCAGGTGATTTAAAAATACAATATTATAATGTTTACTCGAACAGTCAACAGGTGTCAAAAGAAATTCTATTCATTTGGTAATATTATCTATTTGACATAAGTTGACTTATACGAGTTTTTTATAAAGGTTTCGCCATACATGGGTGGTATAGGTGTTAGCAGTGCTGTCGTATCTTTCAACGTGGCCCTTTATTACAATACTATTATCGCTTGGTGCCTCTTTTATTTTGTTCAGGTAAGTCACGATGTTATTTCGCATTTTGTTTGCGTTTTTAAATCAAACAAAATCATTTCTTTTTAAAGAGTTTTCAATCACAATTACCATGGGCCGAATGTCCGAATAGATATTTTCAAAATGGATCTTATGCACCGGAACTAGAATGTTTGGTAAGTATCACGCATATCTATCGAAGAAATCACAGATTTCTATGAAGTCTGTGGGTATAATTTTTATAGGAATGAGAAAATTAGATCTTAATATATGTCAATCTATAGCAAAGCAGCCCAACTCAATATTTTTGGTATCGGACGACTCTGATGATCTCTAAAGATATTAATACCCCGGAAGTATTTAATTGGAAGATTGCACTGGCTCTAGTTATTGCTTGGATTTTGGTTTATATGTGTATGATCAAGGGAATCGCATCGTCAGGCAAGGTATTCAATTAAAATCTTTTGATTCACTTTATACAATGTGTGTATATATATATATACATAATTCATTTATATATATTATCAAATAAACTTGTTTTACTTATCTTTTTGTTGTGTTTAACAGGTCGTTTACGTGACTGCTACGTTTCCATATATCGTGTTAATTATTTTCTTCTTCCGAGGCGTCACTTTACCGGGAATGTCAGATGGATTACGGCATCTTTTTACACCAAAGGTACATTAAAGTATACTATAACTTTTGATAATATCGACATGTTAAAAAATAATAATGAAATTTTTATCCATTTTTGTCAGTGGTGGACACTTACAGATCCAGTAGTATGGTTAGAAGCTGGTACTCAAATATTCTTTTCTCTTGGCTTGGCATTTGGAGGTTTGATAGCCTTTTCTTCCTATAATCCAGTAAATAATAATTGTTATCGTGACGCGATCATGGTTAGCTTTACGAATTGCTTCACATCTATGTTTGCCGGAATTGTTGTTTTCTCGATTATAGGTAATAATTAAATGAAGTTTATATGATCGATAAACGTTTCACAAATGTACGTTTGTACAATGTACGTTTTCCTATTATAATAACAGGATTTAAAGCGACTATGGTTTACGAAGAATGTTTGACAGAACGAAATACATTGTTAATTAATATTTTCGGTACCGAAGACAAAATACCCGATGTCATACCCGATGCAAATACGTTACTTAATGTTACTACCGGAAATGGTTCTTTGGACAATTTAATTATGCCAAAATTGCCGGTATGCGATCTAGAAAAGGAATTAGATAATGTGAGTATTATATTTATTTATTTCAAATATTATATTCTGTCCTGTCACGTATTTATACGTTATATTTCTTTATACAGTCAGCATCAGGTACTGGTTTAGCATTTATTATCTTCACAGAAGCCATTAATCAATTCCCTGGTGCCCAATTTTGGTCGATTTTATTTTTCTTAATGTTATTTACCTTGGGTATCGATTCTCAATTTGGTACACTAGAAGGCGTCGTTACGAGTATTGTTGATTTGAAGCTTTTTCCCAATTTACGAAAAGAAATCTTAACAGGTTCGTTGTATTGTTAAAAATGACGTACGATCAGCGCAAGATTTCATTATTAATGAAATAATATTTTGAAGCGATTTAACATTTTTCAATCTTTATTAGGTGCAATTTGTTTGGTGTGTTGTATAATTTCAATGGCTTTCGCTCATGGTGCTGGCAGCTATGTCTTCGTACTTTTTGACAATTTCAGTGGAAACTTTCCTTTATTGATCATCGCATTTTTCGAATGCATTGGAGTATCTTATGTGTATGGATTAAAAAGGTACCTATATTAAGTTATTACAAATCATTTGTTATATTATAATAAGGATAATAAGGATAATTCATTGCGCTTAGATTTGCCGATGACATAGAGTTAATGACGGGTAATCGTCCTGGACTTTATTGGTTGATTTGTTGGAAATATCTCAGTCCTTTGGCGATGTTAAGTATCTTGATTGCTTCATTCGTCGAAATTATTATGGAAGGGAGTGGTTATCCAGCATGGGTATCAAGTTTAGGTACAACGGAAAAACATGAATGGCCAATATGGGCTCTCATCCTTATTGGTATTCTTATTCTTGCATCCGTTCTTTGGATACCTGCAGTTGCCATTTGCAGGTAATATTTAATATCTACGATATATATCAATTAATTATCTTCTAAAATTTAATTGATTTTTTATTCGACTTGTATATTATAGATGTTTTGGTATTCTCATAATTGATGACAATGAAAAAGCCTGGTTCCCGGCAGCAGATTTGAAAGAATTTCATGGAATCGTACCCCATGAAGTTACTGCTGCTGAAACTTTATTATTCTGCATAAGAACCGATGGTACAGAAGGACTATGTTGTCCAACAGGTGGTCCTAGCGATGATGACGAGGATCTCTCCTAGGAATGGTCTTATTTATTCTATATTGATATTCGTTTAATTGCTTTTTAACTCGAGAAACAGATGTTTCTTTTAAAGAAATAATTGACATAATTAGTATTTACGTTTGATTGATTCAATGATATCAGAGTCTTTATTGATTTATTTTCATTATTAATCATATTTAATTATAGGATTCATCGAGTCAATTAATCTGAAAATAATATGAATTCATGAATTACGTGAGATATAACATTTATCTGATATATGAAAATTGATGAGGATTTATGAGGACATTATTATATTGTTACTGTTTTTCGTGATTTTAAACAACATCATGTGTCAATATTAGTCAAGAGAAATACTGAAATCTGTTCAAAGTTTTGGAAGTTTACAAACATATTAGATATTAGGTAAGGAAATATACAGTACTAATATTATTAGAAGCTAAAAATGGATACAAATCGTCGTTTTGCTGTATTCGTAAACATATACAGATAAATGAATGAAAATTTGAATTTCATGAAAAAATATCGCGACTGTATTTTTCGTACGTCGAATATATTGCTATTACGCTTAGCATTGTCTTCGACGTGTAACTTTCTATTTACATATTAGGAAAATAACGTATTATACTCGAAATGCGATGCAATTTATAAGTTTTTTTTAAAAATATTTTATTCTCTCATACGATATTTATTATTGCTTGTATCAGACAATGTCTCTTAATGATACAGTATTCTATATTCTAAATTATCGATAAAAACTTGTTAAATACTATAATATTTTCATGTGTTTCCGTCTAGCAAACGTCAATACTGTCATATACTAAGGTTGCTTTATATTTTTTAAAAGCATCGTATTTCGAAAAAAGAACGTTCGAAATTAATCGAAAATACAGATGCTAGTGGGAAAAAACATAAACATATTAGTATGTACTGATCTGTCGTTTTTAGAAAATCCATTATATATTTAAATATATTAAAAAAGGTAAACCCCGGAAATTTGTGGCATATCGACAATAAGAATACATCTTATCAATAATATCAGCGATTGCACTTTAATTGTTTAGCAATTGCAATTAATGTGAGATTTAAGATTAGAATAGGAGCCGTCCATTCAATAAGTCAGAAATGGGACGTCTCTCAAGTTATATTTCTTCGTTTTTTCTTTTTGTTTTCGTAAAATTTTAAACAACGCTACTTAGCCGATTCTTTATTCTGCCTGTCCCGACTATTTCTAGTAAATTTTTATATAAAGTTTTAACGATACTATTTAACGTTCTTATATTAAGGAAATATTAATCTTGTTAAATGTGTGAAGTAAGTTTTATTATTCGTATATCAGATAAAAAAATTTACATGTTCTCTTATTATAAGGAGAGGAAAATCAAAAGGTACAAATTACTGTCGTTTACTTTTGAAACGATGGTTAGAATTATCTACGTTCTTCAATGATCGCGATACGTGCTTACTCTGAGTTTATAATAAAAACACGATATAATAAACTTATCGTTTATAATAAAAGATAAGAAAAAGTTTCATTAATATTAAGTCTGGATGGCAGAAAGAATTGATCGGCAGAATTGGTAGCTTTATCGCGTTGAAAGTATATCAATAGTGATAGAAATGAAAATGGAAACAACTGGCATATCGTGATGATACATATAAATCTGCTCTATGTACTTATGATAAAATTTATTCATTATTTTAACGTGATTCGTCAGTTGTAATTTTAAGGCTTAAGGACAATACAAAATTATGTAAATGCCTCGTTTCGAGGGATTTATAATGACAATAACAAAATTCAATCGAATTATAATCGATGAAAATGTGACGACAATACATAAACATAACGTGACATTAACGTCAAAATAATTTTGACCGTAGTTTCGTTACGTATGTTGCATGTTATTTTTAATACAATATTCAATATTAGAAATGTTAAAAATATAAAGACTGTTCCAATTGAGATTATATAGAGCGAAAAAGAAACATATAGCAACGATTTCTTTTTTTTTCTTTTTCTATTTTTTTTTTTTTTTTTTTTTTTATTAATCAAGATAGAGAAAAAACTCATTGAGTTTAATTATTTTAGCATGTTTTTTTAATTATTATATTAAAAAACAAAAGAGAAAGCTACATGCTATAAGCTATTGAGTAAAACAATTAGTTAATCAATGCACGTGCAATCTTTTTCAGATAGTAGAACAAAATTAATAGAGTTTGTTATAACACGAAATATATATATATATATATATATATATATATTTATATATTTATATAATTAATAGGAAATTTACATTTATTATGATTATGTTTTCCTTCATACAATGTATTCTAAAATAGCTCATGTTTGCTTTATTACTAAGGTGCTAAACTATAATATAAGGACGATTAAATAAAAATTAATAACAATAATTCTATATATACATACGTATAGTTATTAACATATACTTGTTAAGAGATCCATAAGAATCTGTTGATTGCTTTGACAATAATTCCGTTGCCTTGAATGATATAGCAATTTACGTATATACATATATATTTATATTGAGTTTATCCTGATTGATATAATGTAAATAATTATTGATATTGGCTATAAGAATTTTATCGACAATAAGGTATCTATATATCGACGCATGAACATTTTTAACAAGAAAAGATTCATGTCCCTGAAATTCTAATTATGATATATGTATTTATATCGAATTTTTTCTTCATACTATTTATGTATTTGTTAGATTAGAGAATACAATATCAATCATATATTTGCACTAAACGTACAAATATTACGGACAATAAAAGGTCTCATATCGTTTTAATTTCTCATATCACTAACAATAGGAAAATGTTATGGAAAGATTAACATCAATAAATAAAAATGAGATTACGTATATGAAATCATATCATGTTTTACGAATGAATATGATAAAGAAAAATTTTACGAATTAAAATACGTTTAATTTTTTATCTTAAATGTATACGTTCTCGATTATTATTTTGAAGAAAACACATTCTACTGTAATCCACGTATCTGTAAAATTTCAATTAAGCGTGAAATTAAGCGTGAAATTAAGGGTGAAATTAAACACGAAATAAAGTGACTGTAAATTAGTTTATTGTGCTACGAAGCATTTATATCATAATTGATATCGTGTGATTGAAATTTTATTATTAATATATTATACGAGATACGATTAATATAAGACGTAGCTTGTGCAATAATTAATAGGATATATTATTAAAGCGGATGGTAGTTATCATTATGATTATATTAATTATATATATATATATATATATATATATATATATATATATATATATAAACACATAACTTACACGTTAATATTGGATATACGTAAAATTGTACATATATATATTGTTGTCAGTTAAATGTTGAAATAAATACCGTGCCGATAAAATATCGTTCTACTTTTTTAAAAGACTATAAATGTAGCAGAGAACTTCCTTAACAACCGATGGTTAGATTTGATATTAGTTCACAAATACGACACCTCATTCAATTTCTCTTCTAGTCAGTTTTAGTCTTTTGTGGACGAAATGAGTGAAAACCTCGTGTGAGTCGTTGTGGTTATGATTTTATCAAGAACTGTTTATATTTTTTACGATGTATACAAACTTTAAATTTTTTATAATATTATGAATTATTTATACCAGCTATTTAGAATTTCTTTTATACTTTCAAACAAGCATATCTTTATTTTTCAAGCATAGTATAAATTTGTATAATTTAAACTTATTCTTCTTGATTTAATTTTTTTTTTTTAAATAAAATAGTGTATCGAATAGACTGAGGATTTTTTTTTTAAATATTTTTTTTTTTTTTTAGTTCTGATATTAAATAATTAATTACAATTCCTCATAGAATTATAATTTAATACATAATTCACATTTGTTAAATTGTTTTTATTTGCTTGTTCAAACTTTTGTTCAACAATCAAACAAATTTTTATTTATTTAATTAATAATAGTGACCATATAAGTTAATAGTAGTTCGAAGATTATATGTTTAGATCATTATCTATACGCTGTATAACTATTCGTAATATGAGTATATTTACTCAATGTTTAAATCCCATTACGGGTACTGCAACTTGGGAAGAGAAAGATCAAGATTATGATTATCATCAAGAAGTGGCAAGATCGGCATTTGCTGATATGTTGCACGATCATGAAAGAGTTGGTATTTCAAATATAAATATTAAAATTTGATATAAGATGATAAAAAAAAAAAAAAAATGATTTTTTTTTATTTGTTGATATAGAATCAAAAGTATTATATTGCTCTTGAGGCTGCCATTAAAAACAAACATGATGCTGGACAAGAAGCTAATGTACTTGATATAGGTACTGGCACAGGTTTATTGTCTATGATGGCAGCAAAATGTGGAGCAGATAGTATAACAGCATGCGAGGTATTTTATTATATATTATATGTTTAAATAAGAAATTATTATTCTTGAAATATTGTAAAATATCTATGATGTTTAATTTTTTTCTAATTTTTAGGCATTCAGTCCAATGGCTATGTGTGCTGTAACGATTATAAAAGAAAATGGCTTTGCTGATAAAATAAAATTAATACATAAACGTTCCACGGAAATGACAGCAGGTAAAAATGGTGATATGCCAAAAAGAGCAAATATATTGGTGACAGAAGTATTCGATACCGAACTTATTGGAGAAGGAGCATTATCCACCTTTCATCATGCTCATGAAACATTACTTGAAGTACTATTAACAATTTTTTTTTTTTTTAAATTAATAAATATTTCATTTACTTACATATATTTACAAATAATTTTCTTCTAGAAAGATAGTATAGTAATACCAAATAGTGGTACTATGTGGGCACAAGTTGTTGAAAGCAAATCTGTTTGTGCATGGAATAGAATAGAATCGATCAGTGATACTGGGACACAAAAAATTCTTATAAATGCTCCATTATGTATAAAATCATGTTCTGGGGCTGCAGCTGTACACGATATTCAATTGTCACGTCTTCCTCGTGACGAATTCAAACCATTATTACCACCACAACCTATGTTTAGGTAAAAATATATATTTGTCTGCATTTGTGTTTATATAAAATATTTATATAATTTGTATTTTAGATTCGACTGGTCTGGAAATACACCTTTGAAATATAATGATAGAATGTGTTTAGATGTTTCACCAATTGACAATGGTACCGCTCATGCAATCTTCTTGTGGTGGGATTTAAATATGGATACAGAAAAGAAGGTAGTAATTATAATAATATATATTATTTAAAATAATTATATTATAAATAAGATTCTTACTAATAGATATTTCATAGGTTTTGTTAAGCTGCGCACCTGTATGGGAACATCCTGAGATTAAAAAGTTGCCACATAATAATGTAAATTTTAATGAATTAGCAGATGTAATACCATGGAGAGATCATTGGATGCAAACTATTTATTATCTTCCATCAGAAGTACAAATAAGTGTTAATAACAATGTTAGCCTTGTTGGTTATCATGACGAATATTCTTTTTGGTTTGATATAAAAAATGGTCCAATGTAAGGTTTATTTTTTTTTATTGCAATTTTTTTTCCATCTTGTTACACATACTTTCCATATTATCCATTATTTTACTTCTTATTATATTTCTAACGTTTTAACTCTGTTTAATTTTTAGAATAGATATACCGAATTATGATAGACCAATATGTAGTTGCTGTACACACATTGCTTACTCCAGAACACGTATAGGTCAATTAAATGACAAAGAACGGAATAACAAATATATAGAAGCATTGTCTAAGAAGGTTAAACCAAATACTACTTGTCTCTGTTTCTCAGATGGATGTTTCTTAGGCTTAGCTGCTGCACAGCTAGGTGCAAAAAAAGTGTATCTATTAGAAACAAATTTTTTGTCTCAAAAAACTATTGAAATGTTTATAAAGACAAATAACCTTGAAGACAAAGTAGAAATTATAAGTACGGATAAGTTGCCACCAGCTAGTATGATAGATTTAATTTTTGGTGAGCCATATTTCATCAGTTCTATTGTACCATGGGAAAATCTTCGTTTTTGGTATCTTGCTTCACAATATTCATCACAAGTTCAAAAATTACCTATAGCAGCTACAATAAAAGCTGTTGTTGTTGAATTTAAAGATCTACATAAAATTCGAGCACCTCTTGGTGTGTGTGAAGGTTTTGATTTATCTAGTTTTGATAAGCTTGTTCAGGTAAGGCACTCTGTTGTAAAAGTTCAAAATGTCTTATTAATTTTTATAAAATTTCATAGGAATCCAGTGACAAAAGTGATAGTCCTGTAGATGCACAACCTCTTTGGGAATATCCAGCTCGAGCTTTGACATTGCCTTTCACTGTTAAAACATTTGACCTATCTACAAATGTTCATGATCAAAAACGTATTCAAATATCGGATGACGTTCCTATTTTGCAGTAAGACTTTTGTTAATATATGTATATTTAAGATATTATTTTTGATGAATTTTTTCTAAATAATTTTTTGTTTATGTTTAGGAGTGGCTTATGCAATGGAGTTGCATTATGGGTGGATTGGCAATTAGATTCTGAGATAAATGTATCTTGTGGCCCCACTCAAGAAATAGTACCTGGTAAAAGAATATCATGGGACAGATTTACTAGGCAAGGTGTACATATCTTTCGAAACATTAAGAATGTTTCATGTACAGACATATTGTCGTGGTCCTTTGTTTTCGTACCACAACATGGAACTGTGGAGTTTCAATTTAAGATAAATACAAGAAAAGAAAATAAGAATGATTAACATTAATGGTGATTATCTTAACTGAAAATATTAAATAAAAAAAATAAATGTTACTTTATACTATTTTTATACTCATTCGTTGTAAAAACTTATTTTAATAATTTATTTTATGCATTACTCTGCTAGGATTCCTCCGGTAACATTCGCAATTGTTTAGCTAATCGTCTGCCTATAAGTTTAGGGTAAGTCTTCTGCTTGATTAAAAACTCTTTACTCTGATGTGTTACTGCCCCATTTTCAAGTTGAAATCTAAAATGCATTCTGTTTTATAATTATACTGCAATATATTATAGTAAAGTATAATATATAATATAGAAAAATACAAAGAAATTGATGAAAAAAAAAAAAACTAATTACCTGCAGAGGTAATGTAAAGGCCCAAGCATAATATTTCTTAACTGGTGATTTCCTTCTAAAATTGAAAGTGCCAATGCACCTGTTTCAAGAGTGGATAAGCACCCTTCGGTTGGTTGTGTTCGAATGACATACTCGCTTGCTGGTACTCCTACTAGTTTATAGGCTCGAAGTAAATATAATGCTGGACTTGCATGATATATGGCCTATAGCGTAAATTCTATTTTGCACATTTGTTCTAACATTTTTATGTACATACAATGTTAGGTAATATTATACCTTTGCCTGTGGCCAAGTACCATCCAATAATACTAAATTATATGGCCTTTGTCCATTTGTACCTACTGGATCCAATTTATTCAGAGCCATAGCACCGGGTGATGGATACAATAAAATTGTATCTTTGTCATTTAAAATTTCTGCTAAACCTTCGTGTTTAGGCAACGGAAACTTTTTCCCTCTATAAATTGAAATATTAATTTCAATTTGTGTTTCTTTACTTTACAATTATTAACCTACCTAAAAGTCATACACTTTCCATCTTCTAAACCAAGTGCTAGCATTGGAGCTGTACGTAAACAACGTTTCACTTCTGCTGGATGCTGTAAAATGATAATCCTAGATTCAGGACGTAATCGTTGTTTTGGAAGTCCAGGACACCAACATACTGCTACCGGTCTTCTATAGGAAAAAAATATAATGATTAATAAAACTGAATTTTTTTAATGATCTCTTTTATAGCTACAGAATTTTTTCAATAATATTGTTTAAAATACTTCAATGTAAAAACATATATATATATATATATATATATATATATATATATATATATACCTAACCTAATATATATATATATATAATATATATAACCTAATATATATAAACCTAACCTAATATGATAATTTAATTATGAATGATATGATATATATATATATAAAAAAAAAATAATACAATCAAGTCACAAACATAACCTAAGAATTTACAAAATGACATACTTGCATTGTATACATTTGTCTCTTGCTTCAGGAGGATCTGCAGATATCTTTGATAACTCTTCCCATACGATATCTTCGTTTGTCATGACAAAAATTTGTAGATTTTTACAAATAAATTAATATTTAACAGCTGCGTACGCATAATAGCACGTATTGCACGAGTACCAACTAATGTGGCTATTGAAAGTTACTATTACTATAGATAGATATATTTCGAGATTACTTCGATATATTTATCGTTTCGAAAAGATCATTCTTAAAAGTATCGTGTACTGATTAAAAAATTTATTAATTATTCAAATCACATAATTTCCTTTTTTAGATACGTACGTACCAGTACACACGTATATATTATCGATAAGAACAAAAAGAAAAAGAAAAAAGAAGTGATCGATTTCACATAGGTTTTTATTTTCTTTTCTTTTCTTCGTAAATAAATGGAAAAAATTTGATTTCGGGTTAATAATTAAATGAATTATCGATTAACGATAAATGAAATTTATAATGAATGAATCGATATAATATTTGAAGGAAATGTGGATTTTTATTTTCGAGAACGTTCTAAACCGCGATAGTGGCAAAGGTTCGAGATGATGAAGAGAATACGAAGGAGGTAGAAAATAAAAAGGTGAAAAAGAAAATCGGATAGTGAGGCAAGAGGAGGTATCGGAAGGAGAGCTACAGTGCCTACATAGCAAAAAAGGAATGACGCCGGTATTTTTAATGGGAAGCCGAAGGCGAGTTGAATAGAACGAGCTTTTGGGGTGGGTACCGACACTCAGTTTCTTTGATCAATAATGAAACTTTTCTCTGTCTCTCTCTTTCTCCCGTTCTTTCCTATCCACCTCCCTTGGTTGCCATCCACCCTCCTCTCTTGTAACCCTGCTTTTCCTTTCTCTGTCTGTCTTTCTTTCTTTCTTTCTTTCTTTCTTTCTTTCTTTCTTTCTTTCTTTCTTTCTCTGCTTCCATCGTTCTCTATCTTATCTTATACATTTTTAACCCTTATTTCAGTCCCTCGCGAGGACGTCGTACGCCTCTACAAGGGTTCAAAGCGAGAGCCAAGTTTTAACAAGCCTCAGGCTTCGTGCCCCTGGCCCCTGGATGTCTCCTTTAAATAATCCACCGGACGATCCATTCGTACGAAGGTAGCGTTTTTCTGCGAAAGGCTTAATAGTCTTCAACCTTCTAAAGTAGCCTAGAGTGGTTTCAAAGAATTTCGAATCTTCGACTACAAATATACTGAGGTTCTATCAAGGCCGTCATCTTTCATGGAATTCTTTTTTTTTTTCTTTCTTTCTTTTCTCTTTTTTTTTTTCTGTTTCAAGACATCATAGGTTAAGTCAGAAATTTGTGTTTTAAAAGATATACCTTATCGAGATCACGAAGTATTACGGCATTTTATAATATTCGCATTAAATTCTTCTTTTAGGATCGTTCAAGCATCATTGAAAAATTCTTTCGATCTCCGTCTCAATTATCAAGATAAAATTTCTTTGGTAAAAGTTATGCGGACGATTCTCCAAAAAATTCTATCACCGTCCTTTATGAAAAATTCCAGGTAATTTATAATTCATTGAGAATAATCTTTGAAATGACAGCTTCATCATTATCCTTTCGAGGTCAAACTTTCTTGTCTTTCTGTGAATGCACTGACGAAGAATCTACTTCGCTTTATATTCGTTCATCCGTACATTCAATGAAGAAAAGTAAGATTTTTCTTTTTGTTTCTTTTTTTTTTTTATTTATTTATTTATTTATTTTTTCTTTTCTTTTCCTTTCTTTCTTTTTTTCTTTTTTTTTTTTCTTTTTCTTTAGTGCCTAACCTATCATAGACATAATTTTTATTTGTAGAATTACAGACAAAGTCCTTGCATAGATATCTCGTTCTTTCTCGTAACGTCCTCCATTCGTGTCTCTCGCCTCTTTACAAAGAAAGAGAGGAGGTCGTTTTTTTTACTTGGGGGAATCGTGAAAGTCAAGAGAAGATTCGAGTGTGTAGGATATAGTGAGGAACGAGGGAACACGATTTATTAGAGAAAGACAAGGAAAAGAGGAATAAAACGAAAAGAGGGAAGAAAAAGAGGATGGACCGCACAAAGAAAAAAACGTAGGCGGGAGGCCGAGGTGTACATGGAGAAAAAAAGAGAGAGAGAGAGATAAAGAGAGAGAGAGAGATAAAGAGAGAGAGAGAGAGAGAGATAAAGAGAGAGAGAGAGAGAGAGAGAGAGAGAGAGAGAGAGAGAGAGAGAGAGAGAGAGGTGCGGAATAATGCTTAACAAGCCGACTTGAAAGGACGGCCGCCATGTTGAGTCAATACTTGAAAGTCTTTGCTCATTAAGAATATTTTACATCTGGCTCCTCCGGCAGCACCGCCGAGTCTCTAATTCCTCTTTCCCTTCCACTGTTCGTTCCGAAGCCGCGCTCGCTTCGCTCATCTTCGAAGAGAGAAGAAGCTTTCTTTTGCTTCCTCTTTCTCTGTCCCCTTTGCCCTCACTCCCGCCTTTACGTTCGAGGTCCGTCCCCCTGGTGCCTGGTTGCATACCGGGGGTGGTTGGACCCTCGAAGATGGAAGTTATTTACGCGCCACTCGGAACACCCTCCACCATCGCGAACTTTCTCTCTCTCTCTCTCTTTTTCTCTCCCTCTTTTTCTCTTTTTCTCCTGGTTTCCCTTTGCATAACCCCTCTCATCGGTTGCCATCCCCTCTGTTGCCGTCACTGCCGGCGGCCTTGGCTGGCCATCATGTCCGCCATTGCCTTCCTTTTCTGACCCTTTAAGAACGACGGAAAGAATTCCTTCGACTTCACCAACGGGCCAACCCTCCGTCCGCCCTTTGCAGTCTTTCTCTCTTTTCCTCTCTCATTCTCTCCCTTTATCTTCCTCCTTTCGTTCTCCTACCATCGCGTAATCACCGTTCCATTTCGCGGCGTTTTTCCTAATTCCTACCCAATTCCGCTTTTAGCATTTCAATTTATGCCCGCGGACCGATCCGTCGGACGTGCCTACCCTCCGGTAACGACGGATTATTATCGAAGACGTACCGCTTCGAATGGAAATTTACTTGGGAATCGGGAAGAGGGATGAAATTGTTCTTTTACGCGTTCGATAGAAAAATCGGTATCGGCGTTGTTATTGTTCTTTTAACTTTCTTTCCATGGATAATAATTTATTCGATCTCGAGATATAAACATAATCGCATTTACTTATATACGTAGGTATAAGTACTCTATAGTTCTATTGAAGAATTTTTTATCTCTCTCTCTCTCTCTCTCTTTTTTTGTTATAATTTCGTTTGCTTGTCACGTTGCCGTTAGATCGGCTCACAAAACGATAAGACTGTCGTTACCCCTCGTTGCGTTATAGGGGTATGGTTATAAAAATAAGTCACGTGTGCACATCGGTACTGCGTTTCTCGCGTTTCTCAATTGTATCAACTTTAACCCTTTCATTGTTTCGCTTTTTTTTCTATCGATCCTTTCTTGGCATTTCACCGGCTCCATTCGCAAACCCTTTCTCGCGCGTTTCGTGTTAGGAACGGGCGAGGAGATTCGAAGTTTGTCCGTGCGAACAATCGCGTGCACGAACGGTATGTTAGCGTACATAATAAGCTGTGCAGAAAGCGAGCAAACGAGAATGAGAAAGAAAAGGAGTGAGAGAGAGAGAGAGAGAGAGAGAGAGAGAGAGAAAGAGAGACAGAATGAAACAAAAACTGGTCTCGCGAGGTAAAACAATAGGGGGTTCCTTCGGAAGGGCAGACAGAGAGAAAGAGAGAGAAGAGTACCGTACAACCCCGTAGAGTCGTAGAGCTATGGCACGACGTGTGTGAAATTCAAGAACCTGTAGCGCGAAGAAGAACAAAACGTTGCTGCCAGCTGCACGGTGCATACGTTATTAATGTGTCGTTTTGTCCTTCCTCATCGACATCTTTACTCGAGAAAGAAAGAAATAAAAAGAGAGAAAGAGAGAGTACCAAAGATCATAATTCCAATGAGACGGTGCAACGCGTTAATATACCGAGACTCTTCGCCTCCTTCTTTTCGGCCGAGTCTCTTTACCCCACATTTTCTTTGGTACCTTTCATTCCCTATCCTTTCTCACTCTTCTTTCTCTTCTTCCCCATCGACCGAGAAACAGGTTCCTCTTTATTCGGCCCGCTTATTATGCAACTTATTGTTTTCGCCGAGACACAAGGGTCTCTCCGAGTGGTCCTGAATCAGGCGAAAAAAAAACGAGTCTTCGAGTGACTCGTTCTACGGCTTTGCGTTCTCATACTTCCATTTCTCATAACGAATTATCATAGCGTTAGATTTTTGTCATTTCGACGGACCGCTCTTTTTTAACCGGTAGATGACATTGTGATATTTGGATTAGAAAGGATCCTTTACGAAGGATATATAGAGGAGTAGATAAAAGATTTTTTATTGTATAGACTTGAAGATCATATTCCATGCAAGATGTCTCTTTTGAAATTTTTTACTTTTCTCAAATGCTTCTCCGACAATATTCCCATGGATCGATTAAGATGATAAATGTGACATTTCTTTTTTCTGTTTTTTTTTTTTTTCTTTTTTTTTTTAACAACCAATTATCTAATGAGCGTATAAGATTCCTTGATTCATTGCTGGAATGATGCAGCACCAATGGATGGCAGATGTCCAGAAGCAAACGAAAAAGATTTTATTTTTCTTTTTTACTTTTTTCTTTTTTTTTTTTTTTTTTTTAGCAAGAACTCCCGTGGACCCGTCCAGGTGTCCATTGTGGGTCCGAGCTACGATTCTCAACCCTTAATCCTTAACCCTTTGGCCGCACGCATCCGCCTGCAGACGCCCATTTACCGATTCTGAAACAATACCGACCGGACCGCACCCCGGATGCGCACGTTTATTAAGTAATGTCCCCCTTTGCTTTTCGTTTCGCAGCTGGCCGAGCAAAAAAAGCACTGTTGCTTTTGTCTATCATTTCTCGCGGTCCAACGATGCTTTCCTAACGATTTCTAATTCAATCGTTAGGAAAGTCGTAAGATCGAATGTCCGCGACATCGAACGTTGAGATTTTTCTGTTATCTAATTAAAAGGCCAAACAATTTTTATTGTCTTTCTAAGATATCGACAAATATGTTTTCAGGCACACGTCACGACAATTCATTCAATAATACAACAATATAATTTTATTTTAAATATCATACAGTCGGTGATCTTTTCTGTGTGAATGTTTAAAAAATTTTTAAATATTATAATAAGAAATTGGCTCAATTAAATTTAATATACTTTAATAATACTACTTATAATTGAATAGAATTAAACGGATTGATGAAAAAAATTTTACAATCATGATTATGATTCTAAATATTTAATATTACATTGTAACGATAAGTTACTCATAATATCAGATAGCTAAGATAAACTTCAAAAAACTTATTGATTTTAAAAATCATAAAAATGAAATGAATTATGTGAGTGTAATTATTGTCTATGGAAAAAAATCAATTAATACGAACGTAACAATTATACGTGAAAATAAAAGACTCATAATAATCATCATTATTTCTATTGATTTAATATAATTGATCTTCGTTTTTTCGTTGTTATCATCATCATCTCCTATTATTTATATCTTCAAGTATGGTGCACTATATGAAAATTGTTTTCTAAAATCGATTTCTCGAATTACCGATAATATTTAAGCAACGTACGTCGTACGATTCAAAGACGAGTCACAAGGGGTTAAGCGAAACCTGACCAGATCCGTGGCTCACCCCACTACGTGGCCGGCAAAAGGGTGGCCCTTGGCACTAGAACCCGTCCTTCGTTCATGCAAAATGCAAGAGGCCAGTTTCGAAACGGCCGGCCATCAAATATCCACGCTGTTACTATTTCCGAATAAAAATTCTTTCGCGATGCGTCCGAATGATTTCTGCTTGTCACGTTAAATTTGATATAACGTTTTTTCCGAGAAGTTTCGAAGTGACGATACGGGAAAAATATTGATCGTGATCGATGTGACAGAATCACGAATGATGTTACAATGTTTAGATCGAAAAATCATAAAAACCAATTGAAATTGAAAGTGTCATTGAAAATTAAAAGGAGAGATGATAGTGTTGCCGAATTGACTTGTTTTCAAAATGTTAAGCTTTTTCAGAGTGATAATTGAAAATACGATTGTGGAATTGTATGTTTTTAGATTATTATACATGTAGTATTTGATTATAAATTTTTGTGATAGTACGGTGAAAGATGGACGAAAAAAAGAAATGTTATAATGATATCTAATACTGAGTAAATATAATATTATAACAGTCGGTAGAGCGAACAAATGTATATAAGTTGAAATTCATTTCGAAGATTATAATTTTGGGAAATTTAATCATTTTTGATCATTTTGATTTAATTCCATTAACGACAGATTTTTCTCAACGCATCGCCTTGAATGGTTGACCTTAATCTCAGGAGGATCAATTAGTCACTGATTAATCCTCGCGCAGCGTTCTCTCGTCCGTTTCCTCTTCGATTGTCTGTGAAATTATCGCACGTAATTCAGTTCTCGTAATGGTCTGGACGGGTTTCCACTCCGTCAACTTTTATAAAGTTGCCGACTTTTCTCGTTTGTGCGTAATTACTATTAATTAAGTAAAGATACAATTAAAATCTTTTCAACTCAATTCGTACGATCGAACGCTGTATTATTATAATCATTATTATTATTTTTTTTTCTTTTCTTTTTCTTATTTTTTTTCTTCAAATTGATTCAGCGTAAAGCTTTATCACATAATTAATAATTACGTAATTATCAATATAAAAATGTATCCATTAAGACGCATTGGAAATCAGGTACGAATATTTCAAGAATTGTAATAAAAATGTGTAAAATAAGAGGAGGAGGTGAACTTAGCGAAAGAGGGTGTGGTTGCTTAAAATGTCGGACCTTAGAGTACGTGCGACCATATTCCGCTTGCCTGCTCCCTTCGTAAAGTTGATGGTGGAGGAGGTAAACCCCACCCACCCCTTTGTATGTAGAAGGTACGGAGCCATTGATTTTGAATATGTAATCCGAGGCATTTTATTATTCCATCGTACTTTGATCGGGGTAGGGGTTTGGTGTTCCTCCGCCGCATCGGACGGGGGGTGGTTCGATCACCATACTACCGCCATCGACCTTCGTTTCTCGTCCGTGAACAGAGAGTGGGGTGAGCAAGCGAGCAAGCAAGCGGGAAAGAGAAAGATAGATAGATAGATAGATAGATAGAGAGAGAGAGAAAGAGAGAGAGAGAGAGAGAGAGAGAGAGAAACAGAGAGGAAAAGAGAAAAAGAGAGAGGGAGAGAGAGAACAGAGTTGATTCTCCTCGGCAACTACCACCGTCGGAACCGACGCCACCACTACCACCACCACTACCACCCTCCAGTTCTTGACGCGTGATTGAATATTTTTTCGCTGTGCGCGATTGGTTCGTCGTAGTCGTGGCAGGCAGAACGAACGAGTCTAGAGGGGTAGTACAGCGTGACGGAGGAGAAGAAGGAGGAGGAGGAAGTGGAGGTGGAGGAGGTGGAGGTGGGTGGGGTGGGGTTTGGAGCCACCTGTCAAGCAAAAGAATCGCCATGGTAACCAGGAAACCAGGCACCGTCGCCATCGGCTGAAGGGGCTGCTCGTTCGACGGGGGTTGTCGACCGGATCTTTCAGAGATACTCACGGAGCTTACATTGAATTTTAAGAAAGTTTCTACCATCGGAATAAGATCGGCATAATCGGGTGTCCAAGAACTCCGAGACCCCATTCGAAAAGAGGATTTGCTAAGATGTCGAACGAGACTTCTTTCTAATACTCTATGTAAACTATTTCGTTTAATGAAGAAGAAATTGGATTTTGAGTAATGTTTACGATACGGAACAGCGATTTTCAATGTTATCGGAGATTTGTATACAAGTATGTTTTGATTTTTCTACAATCAAAGATAGTTTACGTTGTCATTGATGCGATCTTGTTATTTATTTTCTTATATTAATTTAATTAGATCTTCTGTAACATTGAATCAGTCTTTATTCATTCGTCGCAATAAGAAGATGGATTGATTTAATGTGGTCTATTAATTCTACGATATATTTGAAACATTTCGCTGAGTCTGAATTATCTCTTTGTACATAACAATCTCTTTTCTACAGAAACGTCGGATTCGCTTTGTTACCGAAGTATCTTTCTTTATTCCGATGTCATCATTTCTTCTTCGTAAAGGTCGTCACAAAGTTTTCGCGAGTCTCATTTCATCGACGCGTTTCCAGAAGATACAAGAGGGTCAAATAAAGATTACGTAATACGTTCAATAATATTTCTTTGAAGAAAAGGATTAAGTATTCTTTTCCTTACTCTTTCAAAGGAAAGGTATGTTCACAGAGAATATTTAAAAGAGAATCTTTAAAATCGTTGTTTTTAATTTTGATGAAATTTTACAAGTTGATAGAACATATGATATGATAATAAAAGACACGTGTTTTCTTTTTTTCTCATCTGCGATAATTTTGATACGAAGAGACGAAAATCATAGTTAAACATGTAACATTTTTCACCTATAACATAATACACATCGTTTGTTCCTATTTAAAGAGATATTAAATATAAAAATTCATGAGAAATTAATCGTATAGAATTGATATGTATCATTTGACATGTTGACATTGATTTCAATGGAATTAACCGACGGAAGATTATTTTTTCAAAACGATATATCAAGTAACTCATATGCCTAGAATTCACAATCTTGCTTGTAAGAGTAGTACGCGGAAAGAATTTGCACCCTTAAGGGGTTCTGAAAACGCAGGAAGGCGGAAAGGAAAGGAAAGGAAGGATGGGAAGCCACGGGTGAGGGTGGGTGAATGGAGGTCCCTGTAATGATCTTACGGCCGTGGTAACTTTTTTAATCAGCGCCCGGTTTAATTATACGGTCGATGAGGAAGGTGCTCACTCCCTCCTTCCTTCTCTGGAACTCCTCCAGGCTCGTGCTCGAATCCCTCCCGGACGGCTGGTCGGTCGGTCGGTCGGCTAGCCAGCCAGCCAGCCGCCCTCTTCGTTCCGCCACAGCCTCCATCTTCGAGCTTTCCTCATCAACCCCTCTCAGGGAAGACCCGGCCAGTCGTTCTTAACTAGGTACCGACTCGCAAACAAGATTTGACTTATTGCGCCCGAGCGATTTCTCCTTCGTTCTCTGCTTATTCCCGAGGAAATCCCAGGGAAGCTGCCTCGGGAAATTTTCAAATGTTTTTAATTGGACGGTGTGGTATCAACGCCAAGAAATCACGATGATTGCGGCTCCCACGTGAGCTCTTATATATTATCGTAAATGGTAATTGTCAATTTTTTTTATTTTTTATTTATTTATTTCTTTTTATTAAATTGCTTTTGATTATTCCAGCGAATATCAATAGATATTTTATTCGTTAATTGTATTGTTCCGATTTTTATCCCAATTATGTTTCGATATTTTTCATATATTTTCTATTTATACTTCTGACAAATATTAAAATTTAACGAACAAATTAATTTTCTATTTTATATTACTAAATTTATATTACTCTGAGATTTGTGGATTTATAATTAAGTATATACGTATGTTTATATATATATATATTTTTTTTTTATAGTTCCCTACGTGCGCTTAGTTCATATGATATGCAATATTCAGTGAATTATTGCGAATATAAAGCATCGTTTTTTGGCCGTCGAGCAATGGAGCTTACACCGTATAACTTGGCGCACATTGAGCAGGGGTGGTTAGAGTGGGGGATTAGAGGGTGGGCTCTCCTCTAGCGATACAATTCGAGCCTCCCTTTTGCGCAATGGCGTCTGCCATATTTCTTTACGAATCTTTTATTTTTCCTTAGAGATTTTTCTTATATTATTATATTTATCGAAGATATCTAATTAATATATATACATATATTAATTTACTTTTTCAATTGGATATAAATTAGGATAAAAAGTAGGATATAGGAAAAATCGAAGTGTTTCATTTTTTAAATTTAATCTTTTATACCAATAAATATAGATATTTTAATTAAAACTTAGCGACGATTTTCAAACATTCCTTTGACTTTAATTTAAGTGGCTCGTGACAAAGTCACATTTTCTTAAAGGGTTGTATTCAATACCGAATAGTAATCGATTCCTACCTGCTCGAATTTGACCTGAACGCGTGCTCGGTACCTGTTATGCGAGGAACAGAATTGAGATCGATTATATTAAGCATAAAATCGATGGTGTGAAAGTAATAGAGGGTATCGATACCTGTTGCGTGGAAGCACGATCTGTT